TTCTTGACCAGCTCTACCCTCCCCCATCCTTCTTATATAAAGTTTATTTTGGTACAGGGACGAATAGATTCCCACCCCATCTCTAAGAACTCCAAGTCAGGAGTGATATATGGAGTTGACCCACCAATTCCATTCAGTTGAGTGAGAATGTATTGTGTCCAGGCACTGTGCTGAGCACCGCGCAAAAGATGAGGTGATGGCTTCTACCGTCAGCATTCCCACAGCCCACCATTTGGGGGTGATCTTCATTCATTCATGTATGTGAATGTGCAAATATTTATTCACGACCTACAATGCTGAGGAAAGGCAAAAAACTTTAACACTGGGGCTGGAGAGATGGCTCAGTGGTTAAGAGCACTTACTTTCTTGCAGAGGCCCAGGTTCAGGTCTCAGTACCACATGGCAGCTCACAACTACTTGTGACTCTAGTTCCAGGAAATCTAACATCCTTTTCTGGCCTCCATGGATATTTTACACATGTAATTCACTTACATACATGCAAGCAAAAAACTCATACACAAAATAATCAATCAATCATTAAATAATTTAAAAACCTCTAACCCAACGTGATAAGCATTCTAACAGAAGAATAAAAAACCTTAAGGTGGATGGCGATGTAGCTCAGTAGCAGAACATGTGTCAAACACAAATAAACAAAGTAAGCAAACGAACAAAAAGTTAGAATAAAACAAAAACCCAAGGACTGGAGAGATGGCTTAGCGGTTAAGAGCACTTGCTGTTCTTCCAGAGGACCCAACATTCACATGGCAGCTCACAACTACCCGTAACTCTAGTTCCAGGGGATCCGATGCCCTCTTCTGGCCTCTTCAGGCATCAGGTGTTCACAGGGTACGTGTGTGTGTGTGTGTGTGTGTGTGTGTGTAGGGTTTTTAAATTTTAGTTTTTGTGTGTATGAGTGTTTTCCATATAAAATGAAAAAAACCAAATGACATTAAGGAATTATCAGGATTTCATGGAGCTGGCCATTTAGTCAAAGCTTGCTCATCTATTCATGGTAATATTTTACTTTTTGTAGAGTCAAACCTTAACAAAGCTCTGTGAGGCACTATTGATTGTATGAATGAAGAATGTGAGATTCAGAATGACCAAGGTACTTGTCCAAAGTTACACAGCTGCTGTGTAAGTGGCAGAGATGGCCATCACATCTAGGTTGCCTGATTGACTGAAGTGTGGTTTGCTTTTGGGCTTCCTCTTCGAGCTTGCCTGTCCAAAAAAGAGAAAAACGCCCCAGTAATTTAATTAAAAATTTTTTTTGAGACAGGATCTTACTATGTAGCTCTAGCTGCCCTGGAACCTGCTATGGCTTTGCACAGAGATTCACCTGACTGCAAGGATTAAAAGCATGTGCTGCCACACTTGGTGTGATTTAAGTTTAAAATTAATTATTATTTTATAGTGCTGAGGATCAAACACAAACTCTAATCCCAGCTGTCTCATTATTTCAATATTTTTGAAACAAATAAAATCTGATTTTGAGACCCTTACCTGATAAAAATTAAATTTTCATCAATTTTCCTTTTCTATCCCAGTTGGGCAAATGATTCATAGAGAACCCAGAAAGTCTCTAGTTGTTGGTCCACATTTGCTTATGACTTGGTGACTCAACTGACACTTTGAATAAAGGAAACTGAACTCAGTATCCAAGGCCCTCCTATTTGTTCCCCATACCTGGTTTCCACTGGGAAATTGTTATAAGGAGGTGGCGTCAGGTCAGGCAGCTCTGGGTCCTGCTGCTGAAAGAGCCCACACTTTTCTTCAGTTGGGAATACTTACCTTTTCTGCATTATTTCCCCAATCCCCATACTGTTGTGTAGTTCCTTAGGGAAGTCTCAGGGTGTCTTAGCTGGTACCATGCACAACGGAGTGCTTGTGTTGGTTTAGGTCCTCTAAGAAGCAGATTATAAGACAGGACTAGATATAGAAGACATTTTGTTTGAGAGAAAATGAGGAATTAGCAGGGAGTGGCTGGGAAGAGGACTCAGACTACATGCTGCCTGTGGAGAGAGCGGAAGGGAGCAAGGTTAGGTAGAAGAGTTACAGACAACACTACAGTACTAGGAAGTTTTGGCAAGGCCAGTGGGCAGTCCTGGAGCTGGTCACTGCCAGGGGAGTCCTGCCTCTTGCAGGAAGGGACCTGCCTTATGGCCCTGCTGTGCTCAGTCCTTGGCAGAAACCTGGTTTCTATGCCAAAGCCACAGTGGCATCAGAGCACAGCAGCTGGGCTGTCTCCTGTTAAGCTCCTCAAAGCCCCTTAGTTCCTGGAAATGCACTTCCATTCTTCATCATCTATAGCATCTGCTGCATAGAGAGATGTTGAGCTTAGGACCCGGCTCAGCTTCATAAATAGCAGAGATAATTATACTTACCATTTACTTATTAACACAAAGATCTTTCATGTACCTGGCACTGCACCGAATCATTTACATATACCAATCATCAATCAACCCTGGGAGAAAGCTACTAGGATCAGCCCGTTTAAGAGATAGGGGATGTTATGGGAGAAATCGCACCCTCTGACTAGTTCATACCTAGAAATCTAAGCTCTAGCACTTCAGAATATGTTTGTATTTGGAGGTAGGGTGTTTAAAGAGGCAATTCAGTTACAATTAGGTCATTAAGGGAGACCATAATCCAAGTGAGTAGTATACTTATAAGAAGACCAAGTTTGGACCCAAACACACAGAGGGGTGTTGGAAAAGTTAAAGATGGCCATCTATACACCACAGAGAGAAGACTGAGAAGAACCAGCTCTGTTAATGCCCTGACCTTGACTTCTGCCTTCAGGATTATATATCATTTATGCCCTTACCCCCAACCCCAATTCCCCCAGTTTGTGATACTTTGTTATAGATAACTCCTTCCCATTTTACCATTGTTCATGTTCTCTCTCTGTCTCTCTGTCTCTGTCTCTCTGCCTCTCTCTCTCTCTCTCTCCTCTCTCTCTCTCTCTCTCTCTCTCTCTCTCTCTCATGCAGAAGTCAGAGGATGATGTCAGGTGCCCTGATCGATCACTCTCTGCCTTATCCCCCCAAGTCTTTCACTGACCCTGACACTAAGCTGGCAGTCAACAAGCCCCAGTGATGCACCCCCCACCCCGCAACTTGGATTACAGGAACACACATTTTCATGTGGGTCCTGGGGATTCCAACTCAGGTCTTCTTGTTTGTGCTCCCTTACTCACTGAGTCATTCCATAGCCTCTGTCATTGTTCTTTACTTTGACTTCAACAAAACCTGCACTGTCTGGTAACTGTAGCTGCTAGTATATGTGTCTTTCTTCCCCACAAGCCTAAGAGCTGCAGGAGTGTGGAGAACATTCATTATTCAGCAATTCATTATCGTTCTCAGCAATAGCACAGAGTCTGATAAACAGTGGGTGCTTAGTAAGAGTCTGTTGAGCTGATGTGAATCTAACATGTTTGTTTTTCTGTACATATGCTTCAAGTCTTATCAAAAGAAGCTGCTAAGATTATCTTCTGTATGCGTTGGTGGTCTCATGAAAATATTTTGCTTCAGTTTAACTACTTTGTTAACAGTTATATTAGCGATCAATGTGTGGTGTTGCACGTCTTTAATCTCAGCACTCGGGAGGCAGAGGCAGGTGGATCTTTGTGAGTTTGAGGCCAGCCTGGTCTATGTATGGAGTTCCAGACCAGCCAGGGATACAGAATGAGACCCTGTCCCAAAACACCAGAAGCCCAACAATTGTGTTAGCAACTTATTTCATAGCTATGAAAACTGAGAAGCATACTCAGAAGGATTACAATACATCACAGGTTATAAATAGCTATTTTTTGTATTGTATGTGTGTGTATTTGTTTGTATGTTTGTATATATGTGTGTGCATGTGTGTATGAGCATGTGGAAGTCAGAGGTCTATTTTGGGTGTTGTCTTCAATCACTCTTAACCTTATTTTTTTACTTTATTTGTTTATTTTACTTATTGTGTGTATATGATGTGCATGTATGTGTGCGTGCGTGCATGTATGCATGTGTGTGTGTATGTGATGTGCTTGCCATGGTACATGTGTGAAGGTCAGAGGACAACTTTGGGGCATGTTTTCTCCTTCTATCATGGGACCTAGAGACTGAACTCAGGTTGTCAGGCTTGTATGTCAAGTACCTATACCCTTAGAGCCATCTTGCCTACCCGCCATCTTATTTTTGAGACAAGGTCTCTCTAAATCTGGAATTCACCAGTTTGTCTAGGCTTTTTCCCCCTCCAACTCCCACCACTGGGATTACTCGTTTTTCATGTGGGTGCTGGGATCTGAACTCAGGTCCTTACATTTGTATGACAAATAGTTCTTTTTATAATTGATAGTGTTCAGTTTGCCACATTACTTTTACCATTAAAGAAGAGGGTAATTCATTGTATAGACATGCCGTTATCTGAACCTATCTTTTAGCAAGCTTCAAGTGACTCTAAAATGAAGGTTACACTAATAATCAGTCGGGTCATGCCATGTTACTGACCCGTTGCTCTTTCCCTAGGAAATCAGTACAGTATATTGTTAAGGACATGAACTCTGAATTTGGGCTTGTATCCCACCTCAGATGAGATTTCTTCATTTGTAAACGGCCAGACAACACTACACCCCATTGAGTTGCTATGAAATTATAGATATTCTTTTCTTTTAGAGATGAGGCCTTATTCTGGAGCCCAAGCTTGCACTTGGATCCTCCTGCTTCAGCATTCCAAGAGCTGGGACTATAGGTGTGTACCACCAATCCCAGCAGATTCAAATGATTTGGTGCCCATAAAACTCTAACACAATATCCAGACATTAGTCATCTTAACCATTAAGATTGACTTTAGTAATAATGATGATGATAGTAATGACTTAAAATGCAGGTTGTATCCTTCTGTAAGTTTTCCTCCTTCCCCCTCCCTTGGTATCCTTTTTATTTTTGCTTAATACACTTTCCCCCACCTCTCATCCTGGCCTTTATTTGCTGTCCATTCTTTTTGTAATATAGAAAAATCGATGGCACCAATGAAGAAGAAGATAACATTGAGCTGAATGAAGAAGGAAGGCCAGTGCAGACGTCCAGGCCACGCCCCCTGCTCTGTGACTGTCGCTGTTGTGGCATCCCTAAGCGGTACATCATCGCTATCATGAGTGGGCTGGGATTCTGCATTTCCTTTGGGATTCGATGCAACCTTGGAGTTGCTATTGTGGAAATGGTCAACAACAGCACCATATATGTGGATGGGAAACCAGAAATTCAGGTCAGTATTGAGCCATCAAGCCTTCGCAGGAGCTTTGCTTTTAAAAAATCAATGTTGTGTGTGAAAACCTTGCTACATGAAAGCAATCAGTGCTAGTCATTCATAGATGTGACCGAACGTAGAGTGACAGCCATACACTGGGCTCTGAACATAGATGACAAATGATTATAAAGGGAGACAATTATATTAAAATATAAATATTAAAATATTTAAAAATCAAATTTATAATGTAGAAACATATAGACTTCTTTATTAACACGTCAGATAACAAAAATCTACACGTGAAAATTAATCTGAGATCATTTTTTAGTTTAATGTTGTGTTATAGTTAGAGCTGCAATTCAGTGGCAGAATATGTACTTAGCATGCTCAAAGCCCTGGTTCGACCCCTGGTACCCACCCCAATATTTGTGAGTTAAAAAGTAAGGAGGGCTTACATAGGCAAAGGATAAGTAAAAAAATTACTGAAGGTTGAGAGACTGCAATTATTTATCACCCTTTGGAGAATTCCAAAATCCTTCTTAGGGCCCTTGAGTCTCATAGGGTTTAAATGATGAACTGCGGATTATCCAGACCTGCTTTCAGACTTGACTGCTCATGTTAGCTCTGGGGCCTTGGGCAAGTTGTCCTTGTGTCCTGCAAAGAATAGTAAAGGAAACCCGTTCAGCTTAGCAATGAGATTGCAAAAGGCTGAAGGGGAACATGTAGGCTTCCTTATGAATGCATCAGACAAAATCTAGCAAAGTGTCTAAACTGTTACAATTTTAAGATTGCAGTATGAACAATAGTTTGAGATCATGACAACAAATGTAATCTGGTTTGTACATATTTATGGTTTTTCACTCAGCATAGAGTCTTGGGACAGATAATATTACCGTGGCTTGTGATCTACGTTCATATTTGCAGATTTGTTCAAATTTCAGTTAGGAGGCACTGAAGATAAAGCTGTTGGCTTTTTCCCATCCGAGTTCACAGACACACAGGATCCCTCCACAGACCCCAGAATGATCACTGCCCAAATGGGAGGAGGCCTGGTTAAAGTATGACAAGAGTGAAACCTCATCTTAATTCTGAGGCCACTGTTGTCATATATAAGTTCTGATGTGATTTAATAATACTGTTTTATGAGTACTGGAAACAGAAATCTAATTTTTTTTTAAACTAAGCCTAATAAATTATGGTAAGAATAAAACCAAATGAAAATGTATGCCTAGTGAACCACCCAATAAATGTTTATTTCATTAAACTGAACACAGGAACTGAGATGACTGTGGTAAGATTGGTCCTTCACAGAGTGGCATCTAATAGTTCTTAGGATACTATATTAGGAGAAATGCTTACATCAGAGTTTCCCATGTTGGTATCTGGGAAGTCATTGATTTGCTTGCAGGCTGTATTTGTGAGAAGACATTTCATGGCATGGGGCCTGTAATGTTTTTAGTGCTATGTGACTCTCCGAGGCAGGGACGTGGGATGTGCTATTTCCTTGACTGACGTGGTGGCAAGAATGGTCTTTTTCATGCTACATTTATTAATATCACCTGGAACAGCCTCCTGCCAAGCACTGGCTTGGAGAAATTTGATGTCAGTCCATGAAAAAGGGCCTTTAGTTGGCCTGCAGGCTTTTTTCTTTCTTTCTAAGAGATTATTCTACCAGAGGAAAATAGTGCCATGGAGATTCTTTAGTCTTCTTTTGATGCTACAGCTGAATCTGTCCTGAAAAGATATCCTGTTTATTTGGGGGAGGGGGTGAGAAGGTGATAGAGGGAGAGGAGCATAGCATCACATTTTTAAATAAAGAACGATGTATACTGGTAAGGTTTCAGATGTGTATCGCATGCATTCTTTCAGCCTTTTGTGAGCGAGGCAAGCTAATTAAAACTTGTCTGCAGAGGCCCAAATCAGAATGAGATGCTGTTTGCATTTATTTGTTCCCCGAAAAGACATGCCCTGGTCAATAGAGTCTGCTTAAAGGCATATAGAAAAGACATTTTTGATAAAGTCAGGAAACAATGCCAGTGTGTGCATTCTAGTTTCTGTGGGCTTGCGGGTTGGGTCTTAGAAAAAATGATCAAGATCTAAGCTATGCTTTGTATTATTCTGTCTGGCATCAAAGTCTGAGTTTATAAACTAGGCATGGTGGCTTATGCTTGAAATCCCGGTACTTGGGAGGCTGAGGAAGGAAGATTTTGAGTTCAAGGCTAGCCTCAGCTAAATAGTGAGTTCAAGGACAGACTGGGGCCTATAGCAAGACCATGCTTCAAAAAATGAGACAATCTCCCAACCAACATCAGAACCCCAAACAACAACAATAAAAATCTCACCAAAAGAAAGAAAGAAACAAGCAAGCAAACAAAAAACAAACAAAAACAACAAAAGGAATAATTTAGTTGCATTTCAGAGACTCTAGCTAGCATAGCTCTAAATCATAGCAGGCTTTTCTTCTCTTGTGCACACAGAACAAAGCTTAGATATCAGCCGAGGGCATCCAATAGGATAACAAAGTGCCAGAGATGGCTGGAATTTCTTATTGTGTCTTTTGTTTCATGGGAAAAAGTAGTTATTTTATACTGAGAAATTTTGGAAGTCTCATCTTCGAGAGAGGGGCAGAAGTAAATAGTATAAACATGTAGGTCTTTCAGATTAATGTGGCATGTGTTCTAAAGTGGTATGAGGATGACTTAGCTGGTATGTGGATAATCACTTTTAGTTTAATATTGTGAGTTATAACTAGGGTTGGAGCTCAGTGGTAGAGCATTTACTTAGCATGTTCAAGGCCCTGGGTTTAATCCCTGGCACCCACCCTAAAATTTGTGAGTTAAAACATATGGAGGCCTTATAGTGAAATGACAAAGGATAAACAAAAAATAACTGAAGGTTAAAACTGCAATTATTTATTACCCTTTGGAGACTTTCAGAATCCTTCCCGAGAGCCTTGAATCTTGTAGTTTTAAAAGATGGACTGTAGATTATCCAGGCATGCTTTCAAACTTGACTGCTCATGTTAGCTCTGGGACCTTGGGCAAGTTGCCCTTGTGTGTCCTGATCAGGGACTGAAGGCTGCAAAGAATGGTAAAGTAAAACCAGTTCAGGTTAGCAACAGGATTACAGAAGGCTAAAGGGGAACTTCATGAAAGTACAGTGCAGAGAGCGGTCCGCTTTGTGGTCAGTGTTCTAGATGGGATGATCCAGCATGGGAGCAGGGGACTGAGATCCAGATGCTCTCTACTAATGGAGAAAACAGCATCTTCATGTAATTCTTCAAGAGACAGGAACACAGTCCCCAGTGGGAAGTGCAGAGGGGATTTTTACTCCAGGGGAGTTGGAAAGTTTTTTGTGAAGGTCTTCAGTTTCTGGGCCCCTCATCTCTCATCTACTTTTCAAGTGTACTTTAGTTTCCCTTGTCTCTTGTGAACTGCATTTTGTTCTTTACCACAGCATCTCCCTCCCTCCACAGCTGAATCTTGTGAATCTATGACATGATTCTCTCTATTCTGGTGTCTATCAGCTGTGGTGGACCGCTGGGGACAGTCCCATAGCCAGGAAAGGAGAACACTTTCAGAAGGAGGGTAAACAGGATGACAAGAACCAGCATTTCTAGCAATTCTTTGCTAACCCTTATGACTCTTGTAAATGGGAAAGAAAAGGACTGCTTGCAGATGGAATGAGATCATTTCTATTAAGCACCTATACTAGTTTCCACCAACTTGATAGCTTAAAATAACAGAAATTTATTCTCTCATAGTCGTGAAGACCAGAAGTCTAAAGTCAAAGTATTGGCAGGACCTTGTGATTCTGACATCTCTAGCAGAGAATCCCTTCCTTGGCCCCAGGAGCTGCTGGGTTTGTAACTGAATCATCCAGGCACTGCCTTCATCCTCAGAGGACTTTTCTTCTCTGTGTGTCTTCTCTTTTAGCTCAAATTTCCCATGCTTTTCCCTTATAAATACACTTTTCATTGGACTTTGGATTTAGCAGGATAATTCAGATTATCCCACTTCAAGAACCTTGACTTTTTCACATTTGCAAAGATTTGTTCTCCAAATAAAGTAGTATTTATAGGTTGCAGGGATTTGATGTGGACATCTTTTTAGTAGAGAAAGAATTCTACCTCTAAGCTATATCTTTTAAAAGCAGTTTTAGTTTATGTGGATGAGTATTTTGCCTGCATGTATTAAGTGCACTTGTGCCATGTGATGCACACAGAGACCAGAAGAGGGCAGAGGCACCATCGGATCCCCAGGAACTGGAATTATGGCAGTTGTTAAGCCACCATGTGGGTGCTGGGAACCAAACCCAGGTCCTTTGCAGGAGCAGCCAGTACTATTAACCACTGAACCATCTCTCCAGCCCTCTAAACTATATTTTTAGGCATTATTTTACATTTCATTTTGAGACAGGGTCTCATGAAGTTGCCCAGGCTGGCCCTGAACTCATTCTATAGTCCAAGTAGGCCTTGAACTTGATCTTCCTGCTTCAGTTTCCTGAGTGGCTGGGATTACAGGCCTGCGTCACCAGGTCCAACTGAAAGTAATTGTCTTCCTAAACATTTAAGTGTGTGATAGATTATTGTTAACTCTTAGTCTTGTACAGCAGGTCTGTAGAGGTTTATTCATCTTGTTTGACTGAAATATTTTGCCCAGTGATTACTAACTCTTCATTTCCTCTCCTCCTAGTCCTGAAAACCACCCTCCCCTGCTGGATTCTATTAGCTTGACTCTTAGATACTTCATGAAAGTGAAATCATGCAGTACTTCTCCTTCGATGGCTGCTTGTTTCTCTTAGCACATGGCCCTCTGGTTCCTCCAGGTCACTGCATATTATGTTATTTCCTTCTTTTGAAAAATATTCCATTCAGTGTACACACCACACTTTACTCATCTGTCAGTAAACATTCACTCTATTTCCATATCTTGGCTACTGTGACTAATACTTCATTGAACATGAGAGTACAGATGTCTTTGAGAGTCTGAAATTTTTTGGATAAATACTCCAAAGTATTGTTGAAATACATTTTAAGTTCTATTTTTAAGTCTTTGAGGAGCTTATTTACTGTTTTCTTGAGTGGTTGTACCATCTTACATTTCCATCAACAGCATAGAAGGGGTCCAGTTTCTCCACATCCTTACCAATACCTCCTCCTCCTCCTCCTCCTCCTCCTCCTCTTCCTCCCCCTCCTCCTCCTTTTCCTCCTTCTCCTTCTTTCCATATGTATACACATACCTGCACATATGTATACACACAAATACATATATACACGCATACACACACATCTTAACAGGATGTGAGAACTAGTAAACTAATTGTGATTTTTCACTGTTTTTTTTAAGTTTAAAAAAATTTATTTACTATTGTTATTTTATGGGTATGAATGTATTGCCTGCATGTATATGAGTGCACCTGGGTTGTGCAATGCCACAGAGGTCAAAAGAGGGTTTCAGATTCCCTTGGAACTGGAGTGCTGGGAGTTGAACCCGGGTCCTCTGCGAGAGCAGTCAGTGCTCTTAATCGCTGAGCCATCTCTCCAGCCCCCATTGTGTTTTTCACTGTATTTCCCCAATGGTTCATGTATTTTTATTTCCCTGATGGTTAGTCATATGGATATTGGCCATTTATGTGTATTCTTTAATGAAATCTCTGTTCAAGCTGTCTTTTCACCCTTATGATTCAGTGGGGGCTCAAGTGATGCTGAAAGTTGGTTCTTAGCAATTTTAGTACTCTTTACTCCAGTATCAATAGAAATGCCATCTGCTCAGACAGAACGGTATCATTGACAATCAACAGCTCTGTAAAGCAGGTAGAAAGCTAAGTTTTATTATCTTAAGTAAGAATTGAGAGACTCAGCCAGGCATGATGGTGCGTATCTGTAATCCCAAGATTCAGGAGGCTGAGGCAGGATGATGATAAGTTTGAGGCCAGTCTGGGGTATATAATGAGACCCTATCTAACAACAACAACAAGAACAACAACAAGAATAACAACAGCAACAACGAAAACAACAACAGGAGTATTTATGTATTCATTCATTCTGGGGATTAAATCTAGGGCCTCACCCATATAAGGCAATCACTCTACCACTGAGCTACATCCCCAGAAATATACATTTGCTAAGCTAATGATAATATTTTTCCATTTTAGAGATTGAACCAGGGCCACATGCATGCTAAGCAAATGCTTTACACTAAACTACATACCCAACCCCTAAAAAATAAAGAGAAAGACAGAAAAAGGGATCAAGAGACCTAAGACTCTACTTTTTTATGCCATCACTAAACTGATATTTGAACTAATACAGCCCATGCTAAATCTAGGGCTTGTTTTTGGTTTCCCTCACGGACTTTCATTTTCTCCTTAGCACTCACTATTTAGTGTGTAACATTTTATGTATTTGTGTGAGTTTAAATTTGTGCATCTCTTTCCTCTGACTAGAAGGTGAATTTGTAAGACTAGAGACACTGGTTTGTGCTACCCCTGCTGTATCCCAAGTATGCAAGAGACTTTCCAGAAATATTTGCTGAATAAAAGAAGGAAAGGAAGACCTTAGAGGGCTGTCATATAGTGAAAAACGTGGCTGGCTGTTCTCTTATAAACACAACTGCATCTTATTTCTTGTTTCCAGACAGCACAGTTTAACTGGGATCCTGAGACTGTGGGCCTTATCCATGGATCTTTTTTCTGGGGTTATATTGTGACACAAATTCCAGGTGGCTTCATTTCAAATAAGTTTGCTGCTAACAGGTAAGATTAATTGACATGAGTATTACCTAGGTTATAATAGGGCTGTGTGCCTTTATTAAATCTACATATTTTTTCTCAATGCCAAATGAAAAACAGGAGCCAGGTAAAATGTAATGCAGAGACACTAATTCCAAATGATGATTCCAAAAACTATCTTTGGATTTACTTTTTGTCCACAATGAATTTACCTTATAGCTCATTAAATAATTATATGGTAAAAAGAATAATTATCTCTGAGTCAAGAGAAATGATTCCTGACCCCCTTACTCATTCACTGTTATCTCTATTAAGTAATTTCCTTTCCCTTTCTGGGCCTTGATTTCCTCATTTGTGAAATGAAACATTGGATTAAGTTGTGTTTTGGACCAGTGACATCACTAACACAATAGCATTCTGTCACGTGAGTGTTCGGGGCTTGTCTTTAGACTGTGAGATTCCTATGATGCTCCTAAAGCTATATAACAGTTGTTTGAGGAATTAGCTGTCAAGAACATTGTCTTAAGTAGTGGTTTTCTGTTAGTTGAAGTATTCGAAGAATGTATGGCCACTTGGGGGAGATGTTGATGCTGTGGACTGAACCATGTTCTAGAAAAGGAATAAACGAAATATCCAGGCCCTTTCAATATATTTCTCATATAACATTGCATAAGTCAATTTCGTGAGGTAAACCATTTTGCAAAGCAGTTTTGTCAGTTTCTGAAATCACAACTTAGATGGTTGTGAAATCAGTATAGTGAATCATCAGTAGATCTATTTTTTTTTTTGAAAAAAGAACAGAAGAGGATGTAATTAAAAAGAATAAAAACTGAAAAATAGCTGAGTACACTGCCTATGAGAGTAAGTATTGGTTTCTGAAACTGGTCTCAGTTACATTTGTGTGTATGAGTATAGACTGGGCTGCAATATGATATATATATATATATATATGTTTGTGTGTGTATGCATGTATATGTGTTCATGTGTGTGTATGTGTGTGTGTGTGTGTGTGTGTGTGTGGCAGGTATATATTTTTGTGTGTATGTGTGTGAAGACCAGAGGTTAACATCTAGTGTCCTCTTCAATCCATTCCCACCTTATTTTTTTGAGACAGGATCTCTCGCTGAGCCTATAGCCTAGAGCTAATTGATACAATTAGACCTGCAGATCAGGAAGCCTCAGAAATTCTATCTCTGCCTTTCCAGAGCTTCGGTTACAGGCTTACACTGTGTGTTTGCCTTTCTATGTGGGCTCTGGGGTATTGAATTCAGGTCTTCATGCTTTAATAGCAAGCACTTTACTGACTGAAGCATCATCTCCCAAGCCTGATAGGAAATATATTGTAAGGGTCAAGGTAAAACAGTTTGAAAACCACTACTGTAAGATCTAAATCTATAAAAGCATAACTATCTTATGTTCTTTTCAAAGTTGTTACTTCCTGTTGTTCCTTACTTAATATATTCTTGTTAAAAAGTGACTACGTATCGTTTGCTATTGACTGTTTATTGGTTACTGCTTACACTTCTGCCCCTGAAGGAAAATCACACATAACAATATTTTGTAGCATGTAAAGTAGGTGGAAGTATTATTAAAATAGGTGAGGAGGGGTGTCTGGGGATGTAACTCGGTTGGTAGAGTGCTTGCCTAGCATGCACAAAGTCCTGGGTTCAGTCTCCAGCACTGCATTAAACTGGGTGTGGTGGCACAGCCTGTAATCCCAATGCTCAGGAGGTGGAGATAGGAGGATCAGAAACTCAAGGTCATCCTTGGCTAAATAGTGAGCTCAAGGCCAGCTTGTGCTACCTAAGAACCTGAACCCTGCCTCCCCTCCCCCCCCCAAAAAAAAATCTATGAGAAGAGAGAAGAAAATGGTTTCTTCTCTGTTTTTGTTTGTTTGTTTGTTTCCGAGTACCCTACGCCCTACAGAGAGGAGAGCGTAAGAGACTCTGGCAGGGAGGAGGGAACAAAAACCAGCTCACAGCTTGGGCCCAGGTCACGAGCTGCTTCCTAGTCAGTATTCTCTTCTGTTCTATTGAGAGCTGAGTGCAAGCCGGAGACACTGTCCCAAACATGGTCTCAAATAAGAAGGGGAAAACTAGTCTGAATGTGAGTCTACAGGAAGTTCTTAGCCTAGTCATCCTGCAACATCAAGTTCGTTAGACATCCCTGTGCTGCCATAAATGTCCATGGACTGGAAGTATGTAATCAAAGCAGACTTGAAGTCTAACATTTCATCTATTTCTCTGAATTAATTTCTCATAATTTCCATAATGTTCATTCATGAGCTGTCAGGCTGCTTTCTGATGTTTGACTGAAATACCTTAGCTGTCATCACCTGGGTCAATAACACAGTACTTTGATCCCTTAGGGTCTTTGGAGCCGCCATCTTCTTAACATCGACTCTGAACATGTTCATCCCTTCTGCGGCCAGAGTGCATTACGGCTGTGTCATGTGTGTGAGAATTTTGCAGGGTCTAGTGGAGGTAGGAGGTACCCTTTCTTTATTGCTTTCAGCCAGGGAATGGTGTTTTAGAACACTGACCTTCTGAAGAAAAGCCCCTTTCTCAGTTTTCTATCTCCCTCTGTACTACTCAGGGTTCTCTAGAGGAACATTTTTATTAGATTGTATTGCACTATGGTCTGGGTAGTCCACAATGGCTGTCTGCATACATGACAGGCTGAAAACCCAGTAGCTACTCAGACCATGAAGCTGGGTGCCTTAGCAGTCCCAGTCTGGTACTGAAAGCCTGGAGGATTCCTGAGGAGCCACTGGTCTTCATTCAGTCCACATTGGAACTTGAAGAAACTGGATTCTGATACCAGCAGAGGATGTTGTGGCAGTGGTGACCGTGGCTACAGTGGGCAGCAGCATCAGGGTAGATGAATTTGCCAATGAGACACAAAGGCAAACAGGCAAAAAACAAAAAGCTTTTATTCTCAGCCCCCCCCCTTTTTTTAAAATCTGGTGGCCACTGGAAGGTGCTATCCACATTCAGGGAGGGTCTTCCCACTTCAGTTGATCTGATCAAGTAAATGCCTCATGGGTGTGCCCATCAGTTTGTCTCTTAGTTGATTCCAGATCCAGTTGACAACCAAGCTTAACCATCACACCCACTTTGTCCTGTCATCCTAGCTCTTTGGTGATTGGTAGGATTATGAATCTTTCAATTAAAATGCTTAGTGTAACTTCACATATTTAATAATACATATGGATCATGCATTCCATAGTGATTTTAGAGATTATCTAATTCAGTATCTTTCATTTTACTAGAGTGAAACTGATGTCCCAGACCTAGCATTCCTTTAGTGAAAATGGAGTGAATTTTACAATAAATCTGTAAATGTCGAAAGTTGTAGTTTTATGCAGAGATTTACTTTGGTAAAGGAGGTAGCAAGATTTAGAGCCAGAAGTTAAATATTCTGAGCTCTGCAGGACATACAACATCTGCTGTGACTACCGAGTGTGGCTATTAGAGCATAGAAAAAGTCATAGACACTATGGAAACAAAGGGGCATGACTATTCAAATAAATCACGTACACAATGGAATCCGAATTCCATATGTTTTTATGTGTCATGAGACATTTTCTTCTGTGTTTTTTTTCCTGTATGTTTTAAAATATAAAATCTTTCTGGCTTTAGAAAAACACATGGCAGGTCAAACTGGGTCATGATTTGCCAACACTTGACGGAGAGCAACCCTTCCCAGTCTCTGACACTCCCCTCCAGCCTCCTGGAGAACTTTGCTGTACCTTGTACTAGCTGTATTATTTGTTTATTATTTTTCCCTTAATGAATTCACCTAACACCCCCCTCTACATTTCTAAGCAGAGGTGGCTATTAAATTATGGGTTTAATGTATTTGTTAGTTACATTTTTGTGTGAAGCATATTAGGATATATGTGTGCCAATTTTAATTAAGAATGTTGTCAGCTTGATGGTGCAGGCCTTTAATCCCAGTTACTAAGGAGTCAAAGGCAAGAGGATCTCAAGTTTAAGGCTTACCCAAGCAACTTATAAAGAACTTGTCTCAAGATAAAAATTTAAAAGGGCTAAGGAGGATTGGAGAGATGGCACTGCTCTTGCAGAGGACCTGAGTTCAGTTCTCAGCACCCACATAGGGGCTCGTGGCTGTCTGTTAACTCCAGCCTCAGGAAATGCAATTTCTCTGTCCGTAGGCAACTGCCCTCATATATACAAACCCTCACACAGGCCCATGTACATACATATAATTAAAAATAATAAAAATATTTTTTAAAAAGGCTAAGGGCTAAGGATAGAGTAGTGATAACATACTTGCCTAGGGTGTACAAGACCTATGCTCAATCCCCAGGATGGAAAAAAAGAAGACTCTAGAATCTAGGCTTCTGTTGTTCTATCCCAAATCCAACTTTAGTCCCTCTAGTCCCATAAGACAGACATATCACACGTTGGTAACAGCCAATGTGGTAAACAGAATATGCCATTTACAGCCATGAGGACCAAGACTAACATCTAGTCCCTTAATGATCGGCTTCTATATCTTGAAATGAGGAGACGAAGTAATTGATGGTATAACTGACTTCCCACATCTCTATTCTTTAGTAACATGAAATATAAATATTGGACTCCTGATTCTCCACCATACATATAAGTGTACTGTATTTGAAAGTCAGTATCTGTCTTATGAACCAAAAGTAGCTAAAATATGTGATTTAGTGTTTGTTTTAATATGTTGGGGCATCTATAGTACACTACACACAACAGGCATTTTTCACTCATGGCTCTGGAGGCTGGACGTCCAAGACTCCTTGTGGACAGATTCATTGTTTGGTGTGGGCCCACTTCCTGTTCATAGACAGCCATCTCTGTGTTTTCACCTGGCTGAGAGGGTGCTGCCTAGGTCTCTCCTATAAGGACACTAATCCCATTTATGAGTATTCCTCCTTCATCTTGTCACCCCAAAGGCCCATATTCAAATACCATCACACTGGGGATTAAATTTCAACATACAGGTTTGGAGAGGAACATCAACTTTCAATCTACATCAGTGTATATAATTTTTTTATTTTATTTTCATTTAAAAATATTTTATTTTTTATTTTAATCTTATGTATATGAGTATATTTATTGCTTGTATGTGGGTGCATCCATGTCATGCATTGCCCATGGAGGTCAGAAGAGGGTGTCAGATCGGAACTGGAGTTACAGATGGTTGTTATCCACTGTGTGTGCTAGGAATCAAACTTGGGTCCTCTGCAAGAGCAGCCAGTGTTTTTAACCACTGAGGCCCTTTTCCAGCCCCAATTTAAAAAAATTTTATATTGTAGCTTGTGTGAAGAAGTTGCACTCATGTTTTAAACACAAAGAGAAATTGGAATAAATTTTAATAATTGATTTTTATCCCTTCTACCAGGGTGTGACCTATCCAGCCTGCCATGGGATGTGGAGTAAGTGGGCACCTCCTCTGGAGAGAAGCAGGCTGGCCACAACCTCTTTTTGTGGTAAGTGTGTTAGAATCATAGGTTAATTTAGGGATGTTTTCTGGCTTTAAGTAATGGACAGATCTACTAAGAGTCTTCAAAAGAACCTTTTTCCCCCCCATAACAGAATTCCTAAGTTGCTGGTATTTGGACAGCAGCTCACTGGGCTGTCCCAGGGCTCTGTTCAATTCCTGGGGTCCGTATGATGGAAGGACTGATGCCTACAAGTTTTCTTCTGACCATCACCTCTTTGCCATGGTGTCTGCATGCACCCATGGACATAGAATGAATAAAAATATAATTATTATTTTTAAATTATGACAGATGGGATTATAATACTCTACCCTCCTACTTCTTTTTATGCTGAAACGAAAATACAATGACTTGCGTAGGCTGCGCAGATGCTGAGTCATAGAGCTGGACTGAGACTGCTTGGGTCTTGATATGGAACTTTTCTTACTGCACTTTACTACCACATACACATTGTCACAGAGATACTTAAATGAATTGTACTCATTATATTCCAGGTAAAAATGAAGTAGAAACCCATTCATCTTATCCAAAAGTAAATCAGTGACCTCCATGTAACAAGGCCTCCATGTAATTCACAGGCCTCTGAACTTTCCCTCACCAAGGTTGCCTCATTCCATGCCTTTTCTTCGGGAGTAGCTCTCTTATGAATGCTTGGGAGGAATCAGTGTTCTGAAGGGTTTACCTCAGTACTTATTAGTGAGAGAAAAATGGTAGCCATCAACACAGTTGTAAAATACATCACAATTTTTTTTTAATAGAGGAAGGTGCCATGAAGGCAAAAATGCTGTAGTTCACAAACCTTACAATGTGATCAGCCAGTTAGAATTTGAATTTAGGTCTGTCTGACATTTTTTCCAGACCATTATAGTTATTGTTGCATTATAGTATGTTTATGAAACTAATGTAAGAATTTTATTTATTTATATTTATTATTTTAAATTACATGTATGTTTGTGTGCCTGTGTGGGGGTATATGCATGTGAGTGCAGGTGCCCATGGAAGCCAGAAGCAATGATCTTCCTGGAATTGGCACTACAGGCAGTTGTGGGCTGCCTGACTTGGGAGCTAGGAATTGAACTCAAGGCCTTAGGTCCTCTGCAAGAGCAGTACATGCTTCTACTTCTGAGCCTTCTCACTAGCCCCAATGTTAGCATTTTAAAAAACCATTTTCTGCCTATAAAAGAATCACTTACTCTGAGAAAGTCTACAATTATATACCATGCTTAAAATAATTTTTAGTCAAATATTAGGAAATGTTTTGCTGAAATTTTTATTTACTTTTATCTTTGTTTAGAATTGATTCTTGACTCTTAACTCCTGGTTTTTATTCTTTTTTTCTCTCTTTTCCTCTATGTATGTGTGATGTGTGATGTGTGATATGTGATGTGGTGTGTGTGTGTGTGTGTGTGTGTGTATGTGTGTTTGTATGTGAGTGAGAGACTGTGCATGCCATGGTAGGCCTGTGGCAGTCAAGGACAACCTTGGGTATGAGTCCTCACCTCCTGCTTTTTTCGAGGCAGGGTTTCTTTAGTTGTTTTGCTGCTGCATATGCCAGGTTAGGTGGCTCATGGATTTCCAGGGTTCTTCTGTCTCTGCCTTCTATCTACGGTGATAGGAGTACTGTGAATGCAGGTGCTTACAACTGCACTCAGGGTTACCTAGGTTTCGGGGATCTGAACTCATATCCTTATGCTTGAGTGGCAAGTGCTTTACCTACTGAGCCATCTCCCCAGATTCCCTCTTTTTTTGAGACAGAGTTTCAAGTAGCATAGGCTGACTCTGAACTCCTGATCCTTCTGCATCCACTTCCAGAGTGCTAGGATTACAGCTGTGGACCATCACATCCTGCTTCCTGGCTTTTATTCTAAGGAGAAACAGAACATAATCCTGCCTCTCCCCACCTTTGGGGCTGGTATTGGATGACTGAGTACAGTTGAGGCTACTGAATTGTGATTATTATTATAGCCTAGGTAGAACTCTGCTTTGTTGTAATCCAGGTTATTCACCAAAGAACCCAAAGCTCGTTTGCGAAATCTGAATTCTCATTTGACTGTCTATGTGGGCCAGTCTCTTAACAGCATGATCCTAAATATCAGCTTTTTTAAAAATTCATAATTAAAGAATTAATTCTTGAAGCTGTTGATTCTTTTTTTCCCCCTCTTTTTTAAGCATCCTCGGTATTTCCTTGCACAGTTTAGCAGGCTTCCTCAGTCGTAAAAGTGGTTTGGTACAAAAATAGCTGGTCAGATTGATCTGTCTGTGGGGACATGAGCCCTAGAGGGCATTTTGAGAGAGGGCTTGCCCATGTAGCCCAGGCCAACCTCCAATTTATAATCCTCTTGCATCTGCCTCCCTAGTCCTGATTGCAGGTGTGTACCCCGCATAGTCTGGGGTCTGATTTTTTTTTTTTCAAGTTAGCATGCCTTTCCTAAGACAAGCTAATTTGGACTTCTTTGCCAAGGGGAGAAGTCAATCTTCCTCTTTATTTCTATGAGCATTTTTATTACTTTTTCTTATTGTCTCTTTATCTTCTTTAAATCATCATCAGCATCATAAACTACTCCCTGGGAGTTTGTTGGGGACAGTTTCCATGTCCCTGCTTTGTGTCTAGTTCGAAACTGCACACCCAGCTGAGATGTCTTTGGAGACCATCTATGGCCTCTGATTTGCTATAGCATATCTCCACCTTGCAGAAGTCTCAACCAAGCCCAGAAGATGTAAGACTGAGCCCACTGACTGTGGATGGTCTGATCCTTGGCCTTGCTTTCTGTGGTTGGTTAATCGGAAAGGCCTTTCATTTTGATTTGCCAGCAAGATAAGAGTGACTAGCAGCCACTCCCTGTTCTTAGGATGGTTTTACAGCCATAAAAGGGCTGATTTAAAAGTGATTTGACTTTACAGGAAAGATACCTGGTCAAGGCCACAGGACTTATTACACTTTCCACCTAAGGCGTGGCCTGTTTCAAAGAATAGTCAAGGGAAAAATGTTACTAGAAGGAAACTCAGGCTTAGAGTTAATCAGTTCTTCATTTTAAAAGCTATAGGAATAGGAATAAGAGTCTAGAAATACCTGGTCAAACTGTTGTTTTAGAGTTGAGGAAACTAGGGATAAGAGTTGAAATTCTCATGGCTAGTGAGACAGAACTGGGAAATATCTCTCACCCTTGATCAGTTTTACCCGCCTCCATGGAACACCGGTCCCTGAGGACATCATCTGCCCTCTGTGGTGAACATGTAGGTGTTGAAGTCCTCTCTACAATCCAGCCCAGGGTAGAGTACCCCACTTGGGACAAGCCCAAGAGGCTGAGTGAGTGATGGGAAATGACATTGGAGCTGTGGCTGAAGATGAGGAAGAGTTTGATAGACAGGGGACAAGGGTAGTGTGCTTAAGTTGTAGTTTCTCCAATGAAAGAATGCTTCTTAAAATGGGGAATTATTAAGAAGCTGAGGGTGAAGGATACAGGACTAAATTACTATAGAATAAGGGCTTCTCTGAACAGGTACAGGAAACCTGTTCTTACACCTGTCACCTTAGGCAATTTACTTCTCCTCTAGTCTTGTTTTTTCGCTATGAAATGGGGGATAATGCTGGTGTCTTCCTCATCAGGTTGAAATAAATGAATATAATCACAGATGCAGCGTACTTAGCATAGTACTTGACAAATAAAGGACTCAGTGCATGGTCAATGGTCATTCTTCTTGATCCTCCCCATCTCAAGTGTGCCTTTGAAATCTAACCTTCCTGCTCTGTGGGGCAGAAGACCACTGTACACACACACGCACACACACACACACACACACACACACACACACACACACACACACACACTTCTTAACATATGTCCTTCTTGGAGTGTTTGCCTTATTGCTGTGAGGAATTCTGAGGTTTAAATTAATTTGCTTTGGGACTGAAGATGTATCTTATTAGGGAGAATGTTTGCTTATTTGCAGGAACACCTGAGTTCTATCCCAGCACCACATAAAAACAGGTATGGTGGTACAGACCTGCAATTCAAGCACCCTAGTTGTAAGAGCCGAGAGGACAAGAATTCAAGGTCATCCTTGGTTACCTATTGAGTTTGAGGCCAGCCTGGGCTATATGAGAGCCTGTTTCAAAATGTAAAAATATGCTTTGTCATTCTGTACATAATAGAATCAGCAATAGTTGGCATTTGTATAACCCTTTCCCGTTTACAAAGCACCCTGACATATATAGCTCAGGCTGTCTTTAAACCAGCCCCATGAGGTAGATATTTGATTCCTATCTTATCTCTAAACGAGTTTTTCTACTTCTTCAGGTGTCATAATCACATTCCACGTCCCAGGTTGCATCTGGCATAGAAATCAGGCCCAGTTTAGGCAGTTGTGATTTTTTTTTTTCTATTTCTCCGGAACTCACCCATTTCCTGAAGATCTTGCTTACTGTTAGATTTGGGAAGTGAAATTTCCTTTGATGCTGCTCACTTTTCTCAAGCAAAAATTTTCTTATTCGTGGCTCAGGGAACAAAAATTTTCTCATTCATGGCTCAGGGAACATCTCATGAGTAACTTTTCAGTTCAGTTAACATTTATTAGGTGTTTACAGGGCTCAAGTTTCCTACCAGAAAAAGATAGGGAGGCCGAGTTACTGCCTCCTGCCCTCAATATCTTGTCTAGACAAGATAAACAGCTTCACACAGGTATTTCAAAGTAAGAAATCTCAAAGGACAACAACACAATTTAGCTAAGACCTTAACTGGCTTTATTTTCTCTTCTCAAATCAGCACCAGTTCATTTCATAAAGCAGAGTGATTATTCCAAATGGGCCAAGCAGAAGAGGTTGGGTCAATGGGCAGAGAAAGGCTGACAGAAGCAGAAATAAAGAACAGGAAGCAGACTGGGCATTTCAGTTTCTTTCCACGTACTGCATCAGGGCAAAGATGGGGCAATAGAAAAAGAGCTAGTTAGCATCTGGTGACTCTCAACATCAGATGAGTCTCTTAATGTAAGAATTGAGGCAGAGGGAACTGTGTTATGCCTGTGGAAACTGGCCTGTTTGAAAAATTTACTGTTATCTTTCGTCTCACCTAGTTTCTTGCAAAATCTGATAAGCAGCTCAGCTCAGTTTTGACTTGATGATGTTGAACTAATGATTCCATTTTAATTTTTAGTTTGGTCTTTAGGGTCCAGTGTAAGAATCCATCTCATCCCAAACAATTGGCTCCTGTCATTTTTACTCAACAGAGAGAATCTTTTAAAGTATATCCATTAAGGAAGTGGATGGAGACAATAGCCCTACTGACAGCCTGGAATTCAACTGCTCCTGAATTGTGCGCGTGTGTGTGTGTGTGTGTGTGTGTGTGTGTGTATCTTTATTTTCTCTTTAACAAGACTACATGGTCTTCTAATAGTGCAGTATCTCTCATTTGAAAGCGTAGGTGAGATCCTGAGTACTTTGAGCTCTGAGAGGTAGGTTCCACATGTTCCTTTACTTGCTGTCTTTAGAACCCAGTATTGTATCTGGCTGCATTAAAAAGAATTCTTTTACGCTCTTCTCATCTCCTAATTCCATTTGCCTGTGTAATTCCAAATTGTGGTACCTGAGTTAGCTTTGGCAAATCCCTGGATGGGTCCCTCAGTGAAGTTAAAGACCGTCCTGAAGATGTTCCTCTCTTGGAATCTCTGTTTGAAGGCATGCTGGGGAGCTGGGGGAGCTCAGTTGCAGAGCACGTGGGTTCAGTCCCCAGCACAGCAACTACAACAGCAATAATGCCCACTGCGAGTTTTCCTGTCTCTTCCCATGGAGGCACCTGACTTGGACTTCATTCATCACACACACTTATGTGGGTTGAGAAACCTGTATGATGACTCGGCAATGTTCCTCAATCTTTTCTGCTTCCAGGTTCCTATGCAGGGGCAGTGGTTGCCATGCCCCTGGCCGGGGTGTTGGTACAGTACATTGGCTGGGCCTCGGTCTTTTACATTTATGGTGAGTGATTTGGTTTCATGAGTTCTTCTGGTGAGTCATAGAGATGTATATTATTATATAAGGGTATGGTTCAGAGTTTGTTATATGGAAACAGAAACACTAAGATAAGTTTATTGTACAAATAGAATGCCTACTAGTAAATAATTTAATGCTTATATTAAAGTGGGTATTTTAAGTAAGCAGAGTGTTATCTTCCCTTAAATGTTAATTAACAAAAAACTTGCCACTGACAATATTATTATTTTTATTATCTTAAAAATTGAAAAAAGTAAAGATGGAAGCAAGTGAGGGCATCTCATCATCATTGCACCTTTTGTTTTTATCTGCAGGTATGTTTGGGATTATTTGGTATATGTTTTGGCTGCTGCAGGCCTATGAATGCCCAGCAGCTCACCCGACAATATCCAAGGAGGAGAGGGCCTACATCGAGACAAGTATAGGGGAGGGGGCCAGCTTGGTCAGCCTGAGTGTAAGTACAGAGGGGAGAGCTTGCCTCTTTCCGACGCCCATTCCTTTCAATGACTGTATTGCCCTCTTAGAAAAGTAAGATGTCAGTATCCTCATTCAACAACTCACAGTATTTTTACTCCCTAGAAATTCAATACACCATGGAAAAGATTTTTTACATCATTGCCAGTCTATGCGATCATTGTGGCAAACTTTTGTAGAAGCTGGACCTTTTATTTGCTCTTAATAAGTCAGCCTGCTTATTTTGAAGAGGTCTTTGGATTTGCAATAAGTAAGGTAAACACACAGTTCTTAAACTTTAATATTCTTGATCTGATTGAGAATATCTTTGCATGATAAAATAATTAAATTACTGATCGTTATTCATAACAGTTCTGTGATACTTTGTGACCCAGAGGCCAGACAGGTATACATGTTGGGGACCCCTGTTGTTTTAGGTTGAAACGAGGCTGAGCATGGGCCAGGGGAGCAAGCCAGTAAGCAGTGTTCCTCCATGGCCTGTGCTCCAGCTCCTGCTTCCTGGTTCTGCCCTGCTGTTGGGGACCCCTGCTGTCTAAGGTAGCAATCTCTACATGTCTGGATAGCCGCAAGCCGGCTTGGCGTTCATATGCGGAGACTCCCTTTCTCAGCTGGGCACCTTCCTACTCTCTTCCTGACTCACCTTTGAAGTGCCCGTCACAGATACATGTCCTCTGGCACAGAAACTGCCAGGTTTTTCCTGTGTGATAATCAGGCACTGTCTGACAGCCTGATAGAAGCCCACCACCACATGTAAATGGGGCATCCCAGGAGCACCTATCAGCTAAGGCTTTTGCTACTGCCTCCACATTATAAATCTTCTGGTTTCACCCCAATAAATCGGAGCTGAATCACTAAGATCTGGAGCTGAATCACTAAGATCTGGAGCGGAGCTGAATCACTGAATAAAGGAGCTGAATCACTAAGATGTGGAGCTGAATCACTGAGTCTGACTGAGCTGTATCCTGTGTCTTATTGTCTACGATTAAGTCTCCCTGGAGGGGGCTATCCCTTTGTAAACAACCACTCGTGAAGATCTTGCTTTCACCGTGGGGGGGGGTGTGCATAGAGGGAGCGCCTGCAGCTTGGAAAGGAACCCTCCCGGGTAGCCACGTAGAGCCAGGGACCTGCACAGCAGGGACCTGAACAGCAATGCGGTGCGTTAAACGTGCGCATCCCAGCGGCGCACGAGAGACCGGCCGAGATCCCCGCGTGCCCACATATACATTCTGTGCATAGTATAATGGCTATTTAATTTCTTCTTAGTAAGGATCATGGATGTGTTAAACTGCTTTTAAAGGTTTTGGTTCTATCCAATCTCAGAGTGTTTTAGAAGCTAGTGCAAAGACTGAATATAAATTCAAAGATAGAAAGATTGGATGGAGTGGCTTTTTCTTCTTCTCATTGTGGGCTGGCAAAATGTATCAGTGGGTAAAGGTGCTTGCTGTCTAGGCTCATGACCTGAGTTTGATCCTGGGTACTTACATAGTGGAAGGAGAGAATTGTAAGTTGTCCTCTGACCTCCACATGTACGCTATGGCACATATACCACCCCTCACCACAAAATAAACAAATAAATTAGTAAATTACTCAATGGGTGGCAGAAAGAACCTTGAAGTTCATGTTTCAGATCACCCTTCTTTCTCTAACGGTGATTTTAGCAGTGACAAACATTGCTGGTGGTGCTTAGAAAGAACCTCTTTCAATGTCCTCAGACATTAGGTTTTCCATATTTTAGGGAGGGAGTTTATTTTTGTAAATATTTTTCATTAATTTGAGAATTTTATATAGCCTATTTTGATCATATTCAGACCCCCTTCTCCCTCCCCAGCCTCACCTTACTCACCCCATTTTGTCCTCTATTATTATTTGTCTTTTTAAAACATTTTTATTGAATTTTTGCAATTTTCATACAATATAACTTGATGGCATTTAGATTCCCTCTCCTATCCCCACCTCCCGTTATTTCTTCCACCTAATTTAATGTAATATATATATATATATATATAGAGAGAGAGAGAGAGAGAGAGAGAGAGTCTAACAGAGACCTATAGAGTCTAATTTGTATCTCCAAATGTCCTTCAATGTGGATCCAGTCACTGGAGCCTGGTTAGCCTACCAAGAGTGCCATGCTTGAAAGAGACTGTCTCTGCCCGTCCCAGCAGCTAACTCACAATTTCCTTAGGTGGGGTTAGAACATTTTACCCACTTTCTCATGTCTCTGCTGGAATTTTGTTTTTCTGGTTTGAGTTTGCATGGGACTTGTGCATGCTGCCACTCTTGCTGTGAGTTCATATGAGTAACTGATCAGCTGACTGGGAAACTCTGTTTCCTTGTGGTCATCCATTACTTCTGGCTCTTAGAATCTTTCCACCCCCTCTTTGGGAGCAGAAGTTTGTTATAGGTGTCCTATTCAGGGATAAGCACTCTGCAGCCTCTTGTTCTCTGTACATTGGCTGGTTGTGAGCTTCTGTGTTAATCACCATCGCTTGCTTAAGGAAATGTCTCTGGTGAGAGTTGAGAGATGCATTAATCTGTGGGTATGACAATAAGTCATTAAGAGTCAGTTTAGGGCCTAGAGAAATGGCTCAGCAGTTAAGAGCATTGGCTGCTCTTGCAGAGGACCCGGGTTCAATTCCAAACACCCACATGGTGACTAACAACCATCTGTAACTCCAGTTCCAGGGGATCTGACACCTTCTTCTGACCTCCATGGACATTTCATGACAACGGGACCACTTACACGCATGCAGGCAATACACTCGTATACATAAAAATAAACTAATAAAGTTTAAAAAAAGAGTCAGTTTAATACTATAACTACTTAGTAGGAAACTAGTATTAGGTTCTCCCTTATGTCCTGTGACCTGTCTAGCCTCAGGTTCCTAAGCCTGATATCAATGTTAGGTATGTGTTCCATCCTAGGAAGTGGATCTTAAATACAATTAAAAAGTGGTTGGTTACTCCCATAATATTTGTGCCACAATTGCACTGGTGGACATGTTTTGCCAGGCCAGTTGTTATTGTAGTTCACACGATTCACTGCTGGGTAAGGTTGATGATTATTTTCTCCTTCTGGTAGCTTGCATAGCACCTTACAGCAGTATGAATGCTAGCCAGTAGATGTGAGGCTCTGAAGTCAGTAGCAGCTTGATTTCTCCTTCTTTTTGTTATACAGCTCATGTATGTAGTATCTTCAGTAATAGGGTCTTGCTATCTGGTTCTGGTGGCTAACCAAGGGTAGGGCCAAAAGCCAGTATTGTTTGAGGGTCTATAGGACCTGTGGTCAACAGCTTCCAAAGAGGCATTCCATTCCTGGCACTGAGTTTATTTATTTATTTTTAATTAGCCTATGATGTCTAGAAAAGGCAATGTCCTCCTGTTACAGGATAACCCCTTTAATCTCCTTTTATGATATATATGTATATGCTTTAAGAAGCTTCTATAGTGGTAGGTTTCCATATGGCTTTTTCTAAAGGCCTTTAGTGTTACTTATCCCTGCACACACTCCCTCCTCTGCCCTGCCCTTCCATTCCCCACCTCATTTAACCATTCTCAGTCTAATGTTCCTTTTCCCCTTCATATCACCACATTCCACCATCTCTCCCAGGAAGCCTCCCCCTACCACGGCCATTTAGTGGTTTCTTTAAAAATTTGTTTAAATTGAATTTTTGTGTACTTCATATAGAACGTCTTAATCAACGTTATACCCGTTCCCCATTGGCACCTGCCCATAACCCTACCCGCCCACTGGAGTTCATATATTCTGTCATTTGTGTTAAGGCCTGTCATGTCAAGTTAGTGTCCCCTGATGCTTCTTAGTGCAGGTTCCTCCACTGAGGTCTAGTTAGCCTATCTGAAGTTCCTCCCTTTAAGAAGATCAGCTCTTCCTCACCCAACAGTAATCAACTGCCAACAATTCTTTGACTAAGATTGGGGCCTTCTGTCCATTTCCACAGTTCTGTGCTGAGTTTTTGTCTGCTTGAGTTGGCATGGGTCTTGTGCATGCTGACACCATTGCTGTAGGTTCATATGAGCAAGGTTCCACAGGAGCCTATAGGACTCTGTTTCCATATGGTCATGCATCTCCTTCCTGGCTCTTACAGTCTTTCTGACCCCTCTTCTGCAATGGTCCCTGAGCCCTGGGTGGGTGGATTTTAGTATAGGAGTCCTGTCCAAGGATCTGCACTCTGTAGACTCTACATTTTGGTCATTTGTGACCTTTTGTGTTCCTGGGCCTCTGCTGCATGAGGAAGCTGCACTGATGAGCATTGAAAGATGCCGTAGAGTTCTCTTTATCCCTTTTCTATGTTCTGTGAGCATTAGGTGTAAAGGTTGCATTGTAGGTGTGCCATTTATTAGTTTCTTTACTGACCTGAATTCTAAAATTGAAGTATGCATATCTAAGATATCCAAGCTAGCATCCAGCTATGAGAGAGAACATGTGATGTTTGTCTTTCTGGTCCTGGGTTGATTCGATTCAAGATGATTATTTCTAGTTCCATCCATTTACCTTCAAATTTCATCCAGAATCTAGTCAATAATTTTGTTTTTATAAGGAGTTGCATAACACTCTTGTACATATACCACATTTTCATTGTCCATTCATCAGTTGATGGACATCTAGGTTGTTTCCAATTTCTGGCTATTATGAAAAGGGCAGAACAGGTATTTCTGTAGTAGGGTAGAGAGTCTTTGAGTATATGCCTAAGAGTGGTATGGCTGGATCATATGGTAGATCACTTTCAAGCTTTTCGAGGAGTCTCCACACTAATTTCCATAGTGGCTGCACTCCCTGCAGCAGTGGATTAAAGTTCCTTTTTCTCCACATCTCCACCAGCATTTGTCATTGTTTGTTTTTGGATCTTTGCCGTTCTGAGAGGAGTAAGATGAAATCTCAAAGAGGTTTTTAATTTGATGATAAAGATGTTGAACATTTAAAAAAAGTATTTCTCAGCCACTTATGTTTCATCTTTAGAGAACTCCCTGTTCATCTCCTTGCCCCATTTAAAAATTTTTTTGTTTAGTTCTTTTGGATGTTCCAAATATTAACCCCCTGTCATGGTAAAGATTTTTTCCCATTCTGTAGGGTTCCTCTTCATTTGAATGACGGTGTCCTTTGATATAAAGAAGCTTTTTGATTTCCTGTCATTCTCATGTCTTTTTAAAGGCTTACTGAGTCTAATCTGTGTTTCCAAACTGCTTTTGGGTATGAGTCAGTCCCTTGGAATCTGGTCTACCTACCTGGTGACACACCAGTAAGGAAAACTGACTCCCCCTCTCCCAGCTGCTATTAATCACTGATAGATCCTCAGCTAGGTCTGGGGCTTCTTGCCCACCCATCCCAATCCATGCTGAGTTTGTCTGGCTTGGGTTTTCACAGGTGGTCTTCTGCTTGCTGCCATAGTGCTGTGGGTTCAGATGTGCAACTACCCAGTGGGATCTAGATAGCACAGGTTCCTTATACTCCTCTACCACCTTTGGGTCTTAAAATCTTTAGGGAGGGAGATTTTGATGGTGAAATATAAGCTAATCATTGAGAAACAGTAAAGCTTCCTTTATACAAGGGAAAGAACAGCAGCCAGGCAGAGGCAGATATCTGCCTAGCTACAGATGCTGCCAGAAGAGACCATGGAACACCTAGCACAGTCATGTGATAGTGGCTGTCAAGTGTTCTTTTCCTGTGACAGGCCTTGTGCTGGCTACTGGGCCTGTTGTGATGAATAAAAGCTATCTCTGCCCTTAGGGCATTTTCAGTCTGGTGGAGGAGACAGTTGGTCTATACTCAGAATCATTCACCATTCATCACTTGATTGTTATGGCATTCAAACCTTCCTGGATCCCATATTAGATAACGAAATTTGCTGGTAGCTGTGGGATTGTGGCATGGAGGTGAGTAGGGAATTAGGGCGATCTCTTGGAAGAATTTAAGTTGACTCACTGATTCTTTTCTTTCCAGGTGGGTCTCTTGTCAGCTGTCCCACACATGGTGATGACAATTGTTGTGCCTATCGGAGGACAACTGGCTGATTATTTAAGAAGCAGAAAGATTTTGAGCACAACTGCTGTCAGAAAGATCATGAACTGTGGAGGTACTGTGGGCTTCCCAGGGGCTCAAGTGGATAATGTAGAATTAGAGCAAACAGAACTGAAGAACCTATTTCAGAGGCAATGTCTAGACACTATAACAGATTTTAAAGACCATCCCACAGGAGATTGTTGAGTATTGTGCATCACATCCCTACCAAGCAGCCATCTAGCCTGTATTCATATGCAAGCTGGGTCAGGACAACTTAGTTGATGACTGATGAATCAGGACATGCTGGAAACTAAAGAAACCCTTCTTTCATCCATTCTCAAGCAAAGTAACATAACTTCCAGCTGCATGTACCATTCCCACAATCCTTTCACATTTATTACTTGCTTATGTAGTTTGTTTCCTTTTCTCTTTTATTTCCCTGGCTTATTTGGTTCCTTCTTTATGTTTTGATTTTCAAAGGCAAAGCGGGAGTTAGGTGATTTCCCAGAAGTTGGTGTAATTGTTCATAAATCCCTACCATGTTTATACATTGCTCACTTTTTTTCAATCTCTCCATTTTCCTCCTGGCTCATCTGTTTTGCTTTTTAAGCGAGCATCCTGTTGAGTGCTTTGTGTGCTAGACACTAAATATGGTCTTTTATATACACTCTCTTATTTAATCCTCATAATCATCTTGTAGAGTGGGTATAAGTACAGGCAGAAATGAAGAACTGAGGTAAAATAAAACAGCTTATTCAAGTGGCAGATCCTGTGTAAGGTAGTGGGTTTGGCTGAACCCCCTGTACTCTTTTGTTGCTTCTCCAAGGGACTGGGTCAGAGTGACTGGGTAGGCAGCCAAGGATAGTGCTGTCTATGGTCTACTGGGTATTAAATAGGAGGCTGATGTGGGTCTGCTCTGACTCCAGGTTAGATGGCTAAGGTCCGAATGAAGCAAGTATGTGGAGAGATAAGAGCAGGCACAATCTGACCCATAGCATGACGGACATACAGTGTGACAAATGAGTCAAGACAAGGAGATGCTTGGGTCTGACCTTTGCTTCACCTGGTACATAGGAGATTGAAGTTTGACAGAGACAGACCTACTTTCTAGTGAGCAGGAGATGAAGTTCTGAGACGATGACTTTACCACCTCTGTTTATTCACATGTTGAATGGGACTTTACAGATGTGATTAAATTAAGGATTAAAAAATATTTTATTTTTTATGTGTATGAGTGTATTGCCTGCAAGTATGTAAGTGCGCCTGTGTCATGCAATGTCCAAGGAGGTCAGAAAAGGACATCAGATTTCCTTGAAACTGGAGTTATAGACAGTTGTTAACTGCCATGTGGGTGCTGGGAATTGAACCTGGGTCCTCTGCAAGACAGCCAGTACTCTTAACCACTGAGCCATCTCTCCAGCCCTGAATAAGGATTTCTTTTAAAGATAGTGTCTCATGTATCCCAGGCTAGTCTCAGACTTAGTACATAGCAGAGGATAGCCTTGAACCCCCGACAGAGCCTCCTGCTTCTATCTTCTAAGTGCTGTCACTATGCATGATTTATGTGGTGCTAAGGATCGAACCCAAGACTTTGTGCATGTTAGGCAAACACTCTACCAACTGAGCTAAATCTCTATATTAAGGCCTTGATATGGGGAGATAATCCTATGTTAGTTAAGAGGGCCCAGAATAATCACAAGTTTTCTGATGAGGGAAGATGAAGGATAAGGGTCATGGTGCTGGAATCTGGTCAGAGTGACACAGCTACAAGCTAAGAATTGCAAACCAGCACTAGAAACCCAGTGAAGGTAAGAACAGATTTCCCTCTGGAGTTTTCTTAATGAACAGCTGACAGCTTAGGATGGCACATTTAGGACTTCTGATTTCCAGAATGGTGTGATAATATGTGTGTACTGTCTTGAGTCCTTAGGTTTGTGGCAATCTGCTGCATCGACAATTAGGGGGTAATAAAATAGCTGGTGTCTCCCTCCTCAAATTAGCACATTCTGCACCAGCTCATGATCCTTCACACCAGACCCGGCACAAGCTTTCTGTCTATGACTTTGCTCACTTACTTTCTCTTTACTGCGAGTTCTGCTCACAGTCACCTCTCAGCCTAGTCTTTTCAACATGTCTGTTATGGTTTGGATATAAAATTGTCTTAAAGGGCCACATGTTGAAGGCTTAATCCCCAGCTGGTAGCACTGTTGAGATGATGAGGGCACTAACTTCATTAGTGGGCTAATCCACAGATGAGTTCATGCTGAATGGTCTGTTTCAAAGGTTAGTCCTGGTTGGAGGAAGCAGATCATTATGGGAAGGTCCTTGAGGGGTACACCTTGCCCTAGGCTCCTTATCATCACCCTCTCTGCTTGCTGGCTGCCAGGAAGTGAGCATCTTTCTTCCACTATGCCTTTCTAACGTGATGTACTGTCTCACCAAGGCTGAGAGACAGGGTCAACTGACTATTGAATGAGACCTCTGCAACCATGCACCACCATAAATTATTCTTCCTTTTGTCTATGTCAGGTGTTTTGCCACAGCATAGAATGCTGATTCTAACAACATTCTTCTAACATTCTAATGTTTTTTTTTTTTTTCCTCTTCTTGTGTTTAAAGAGCCGCATTAGCCTCCAGTGGCTCCTCTATACCCATATGACTTGGTTGACAAATTATCGCATGGTACTCTATTATAGTTCTTTCTAGAAAGTGTACTAGGCAGCGGGAAAGACATGTATAATGTCCCTGAGGCAAGCATGTTTGAGGACAGAAGGAAGGAAAGGCATATTGGGTGAGGTGGAGCATGACAAGAGAGGATCAGAATGCTCAGCTGGGGCTGGACCATGGGGGCCTTATAGCCATGCACAAAACTTGGGTTTTATTTGAAGTAATTGGGAAGCAACTAGCTTACACAGGGAAAGGAAATAATCTGAGTTATGTTATCTAATCTGGAGAATGGAATGAAGGGTGTAGATTAAAGTGGGGTGACTAGGAAGGAGGTGACTTCAGTTGTCTTGTCCTGGTGTCTTAAATTACAAATGGTAGCTGTGGAGGTGAAGAGATGTGGATAGATTTCTAAATTTTTTGAGTCAACTTTTCTCTTTTTAAATTTAAATTTATTTTCATCACTTTATCCTCTTCTATTTTTAATTAAATTTGAAAGACAACACACAAAGGGGACTGGAGAGATGGCTCAGTGGTTAAGAGCACTTGGAGAGGACCAGGTTTCAGTTCCCAGCACCCACATGGCAGCTAACAACTGTCTGTAACCCCACTTCTGGGGATCTAATGCACTCTTCTGGTCTCCATGGGCTCTGCACACACATTATGCATTTACATGCACACAGACAAAACACTCATACACATAAAAATAAATAAATTTAAAAAATTTAAAAGATAGCATACAAAGTAATAAATTTCATCATAGTCCATTTGACTTCTTCCCCCCAGGGCCATTCTCCATCCCCGTTGCCCTTGCTGACTCCTTTCTCACCTCAGCCCTCTTCTGGTTCATGCCACATGCATTTCATTACCCTCTCTCTACCCTCTTTTCCCCTCCCTCAAGAACTCTTCTTCCCATCTTATGATCTCTGTTCTAGTTTCATAATCTACACTCCTCCTGCATCACACACAGACAAATTAAAATCTAGGATCTTTGCATGAGAGAAAATGTGGTATCTGACTGTCTGAATCTGGTTCATTTCGTTAAACATCGATCTCCTGTTGCCTCCATTTTCCTGCAAGTGTCATGACTTCATTTTTCTTTATGGCTGAATAAAATCCATGGTGTATATGTACCACATTTTCTTTATCCATTCATCTGTTGATGAACATTGAGGCTGGCTCTGTTTATTGTCCATTGTTGTCTACAAACCCTGTGAGAAAGCAAACCTAACTACCATTTAAGGACTCAGGGCAACAACTAAATCTGACTTCTCCCTGCTGGGTGAGGTTGATGGATGTGGTAGTTGGGATACTCCTGAAGTAGACTTACTTAGGGGACCCCAAAAGTGCATTGGTAGTTCCATTTGTGTAACAACCAGATATAGGGGAGAAAAGGAAGTCCTTGACTAGAGTCTGGACAGAGATATGGACACTTAGAGTCCCAGCACTAGAGAGGCTGAGGAAGGAGGACTGTGAGTTCAAAGCTAACCTGGGCTATTTAGCAAGATCTTATGTCACTAACCCAACTAACCAACTAGCCAACCAACCAGCCAAACAATCAGCCAACTAAGCAACTAACCAAGCAACTAACCAATCAAATGAACACAACTAATAATAATATGCACTTCAGATTATAGTCATCAGAGTTAAATGAAACATGCATAAATACACATAGTATGGTTCCAATTCATAGGAAATTCTCAACAAATGTTAGTGCCTTTTTAGGGGAGGGAAGTTCAAGATACTGAAAAAAAGAACCCCAGAAATTTCCTCTAAGACCCCTGAGCATTTTTAAAGAAATATTTTACTTATTATTTTTATGTATATGAGTGTAATGACTGCATGTAAGTAGGTACACCCATGTTGTGCAATGCCCATGGAGGTTAGAAGAGGGTGTCGGATCCCCTGGAACTGGAGTTATGGGTGGTTGTCAGCTGCCATGTGGGTGCTGGGAATTGAACCTGGGTTGAGAGCAGCCAGTGCTCTTAAATACTGAACCATCTCTCCATCCCCAACCTTGAACATGTTTTGTGATAATGTCTTGTTCGTATTTAATTCTGCCCCAGTACCTGGAACCTGCTATTCCCTTCTTTTCTTTCTCTAGACAAAGAGGATGTACTATTATGACATTTCAAACAAGTAGATCAACTTAAGACATCATATTCAGTTCTACTTTGTGCTGCATCAAGACACATTTCCAAGATATTCAAGCACAAATGTCAAATTCTTGTACTCCTTAATACATACATCTGAAGTATGACAAAAGTAAAAAGTTTTAGGCTGGCTGAGTCAGTTGTCTGTGTGAACTTCAGACTGTTTTAATATGAAATTAAAGTTTCCTTAGGTCTTTATATCCTGGTGCTGTTTCTCTTGTCAGTACTGAGTATGTTAATTTTCTAGGATCTCTTGGTTTCTCCTGAAGTTCAAACTTTATCCTTAAGCTCCAGGAACACATGGGTAGCATCTTAACTGTAAACAGAAGCCATTTAGTCTTATACTCTTTTTCTTCCTTTGACATTCCGTTAACTGTTTGGTCAATATCACGTTCCTCATACAGATGGTTTTATATATCTAATCATATGTAAGTTTTATTAATTACATAATGTCTTAATTCTAATTCTTAGGAGTAGCTAATTTTCTGGCACAACATTTGAAAAAGTGTTAAGAGAGGTTCAGCTGGATGCTTTATTCTTCAAAACTATTTCTAAAACAGAAAACTAGGAAATTTTCTCTAGTATTTAAAATGATGAAACAAAATTAAGAAAAAGCAAATAGCAATGGTGTAAAACCTACTTTTTTTTTTCCCTTCCAGTGCTGGGGATTAAGCCAAGAGACTCGAGCATGTTTAGAGGGATTAAAGCCAGGGCCTTGGGCATGCAACCAAGTGTTTACCATTATTATAGCCCAAGCTCAAACCCACAATATTTTTTGCGTGTATTGTGTGTATGTGTGTGTGTGTGTGTGTGTAGGCCAGAGGTCAGTGTTCAAATCCACAATTATTCTGCGTGTGTATGAAATATGTATATGTCTTTATTACTCTCTACCTAATTTTAAAATACTTTATTTTTATTTTATGTGTATGACTGACTATATTACCTGTATGTATGTAAGTGCACCTGTGTCATGTGATATCCACGGAGGTCAGAAGAGGGCATCAGATTCCCCTGGAACTGGAGTTAAGATGGTTGTTAACTGCCATCTGGGTGCTGGTAACTGAGCCTGGGTCCTCTGCAAGAGCAGTCAGTGCTCTTAACCTCTGAGCCATCTCTCCAGCCCCTTCCACCTCATTTTTTGAGGCAGGGTCTCTCACTGAACCTTGAACTTGCTAATTGACTAGACTGGCTAGCCACTGAGCCTCTGGGATCCACCTGTCTCCATCTCTCTAGTACTGGGGTTACAGATGTGTGCCTCCATGTCTAACTTTCCTGTGGGTATTGGAGATCTGAACTCAGGTCCTCATGCTTGTGTTCAGCTACCACTTTCCCTATTGAGCCATCTCCCCAGATCACAAACCCACAATTTTAAAAGCACTATTGCTTCTCTCCTCAGATGGCTCTCCTTAGATATCAATCTAGGAGTTATTAATGCTTTGACCTTCTCAATAGTAGTTTTGAAAACATGAATTTAGAAAGGTAATTAGCAGCCAAGATCAATAATAGGTGCTATAGTTTGTACTTCAACCATATATACATTTTTAAATTTTTGTTTAAAAAACTAATTATGTTTCAGACAATTGCATACATCCATCTAATGTGTTTTGATACAATGTATTCACCCCATTACCCTTTCCCTCTGAAACTCTTCTTACTAATAAGTCCCTCACCTATTTCCATGTCTTTAAAAAAATATTCTTCTGGCTGGTCGTGGTGGCATACACCTTTAATCACAGCACTCGGGAGGCAGAGACAGGTGGATCTCTGTGAGTTTGAGTCCAGCCTGGTCTCCATGGTGAATCCAGGACAGCTGGGGCTACAGGGAGACCCTGTCTCAAAAAGACCAAAAAAAAATTCTACTGAATTTGATTAGGGCTTCTTGCATGTGCACGGGTGTGGGATTATTTACTAGATCACGTGCAATCTACCAGTGGCTACATCCTTGAAGAAAAATTACTTCCCCTCCTTCAGAAATCATTAATTATCAACAGTTCTTCAGCTAGGGTGGGGCCTCATGTGCTCCTTCTCGTTCCATATTGGGTGTTGACTGAATCTATGTAGTTTCATGTGAAAATGGAGAACAGAAGAGAAGCCCAAGAAGATTCTGAAGGTTTTTGCATTGGGTGCCTGACTATCATGTATGACTATGTGTTGCATTCAATAACTATGTAGCCCTGGCTGACCTGGAACTTCCTATATAGAACAAGCTGGCCTCAAATTCAGGGATCCAATCCGTCTCTGTATCTCAAATGCTAGGATTAAAGAAGTGCACTACCACGCCTAGCTGTGATCTCTACTTTTTTGGTAATGTTTTTATTAATTCTTTGTGAACTTCCATGCATTGTAGTTTGATCATATTCCTCCTCCTCCAACTCTTCCCAGACCCAGTTCCCACCTCCCTACCCACCTGTCTCTGCTTTTTTTTTCTGCCTTTTTGAGACAGGGTCTCCCTGTAATGTAGCCCCAGCTGGCCTGGTGCTCGGTATTTAGATCAAGCTGGACACAGTTGGTGATTCTGAAGTGGAATCTGGAGTCAGGCTCATCGGACTCTGTAGTGTGAGTCATAAACATAGGAGGCAGGAGATGAGGCAAGAAAGGACCTGGGGGGTGATAGTTTGCTTTGGGTTTTTAAGAGCATCTGTAAGAGAAACAGAGACTTGATTGGACGTGTTGCCTTGGAGGTAACTTTAGGACAATTGTGTAAAGCTGTCTAGAATCAGCAGATAGTTTCTAGAATGAAGGCCCACTAATTATCTCCCTTCCCAGGGTGCTTCATATACTGCAAGTGGTATTTATACCATCTTTCTGTCTGCTGTTAGATAAATTTCTTTTTCTTTTTGATGAGAAGAAATTTCTTCACAATTTTCTCATCTTTTTTAAATTTTTGTGCTGGACTCACTTATTCTGAATGAAAAGAACAGAAAGTACTTTTGTCTTGCTGTATTTTCTGTGCAAATGTCTCATATTTTTTTCTGGGGCCTGAGAACTTTGTGAATTAGTCAAAGGGAAGAAGTTTGCTTTGTGCTTCATCAGCAGTAAGGCACTTTTTGTTGTTTTGTCTTTCCTTGAACTGGGGACTAAGCCTAGAGTTTTGTCCATGCTGGGTAAGCACTGTACCACATACCTATCACCAGGTCACTTTTCATTTTTTTTTAAAATTTCAAAATAGGGTCTCACTAAGTTATTCAGACTGGTCTTGAACTCACTCTAGTCCTGGCTATCTTCAGCTTATGATTCTTCTAACTTAGTCCCAAGTTTCCAGGACTACAGACTTGAGCGTCAGACCCGACTGAGGAACTAATTTTTAATTCAGATAATCATTATAGCTTTTTTGTTTTATGAGAGATGTGTTGTCATGTTGCTTTTATATGGGAAGCTACAACTTATGTAATTAAAGGGGACCATTGATTGTATATAGAACATTTTTTAGCTTTTAGAATGATAGGAGCAACTGTCTATAGATTAATTAGATTAATCACATCTGTAATCCCAAGAGCATCATTGGAAACTACTGGGACCATTTGTTGTTCAAGGTGCACTAGGGTAAGCTGGGGAATTTACAGAACACCCAGGGAATTAGTATAGTCATGCAATCATGAGTGTCTGGGGGATAGTGTAAGTACTGGGCTAAGATGTACACGGCAATAAAATACAGGCTCATGGAATACAGGTTAATTCATATTTGACAAATCAATAGTTGAGGGGGAAATGAGATTCATTTTTATTTGTATCATCCTCTGTTTCTATTTGCAGGCTTTGGCATGGAAGCAACCTTGCTCCTGGTGGTTGGCTTTTCTCACACCAAAGGAGTGGCTATTTCCTTTCTGGTGCTTGCAGTAGGATTTAGTGGTTTTGCTATTTCAGGTAAAGTGTCCTTTGAATTTATGAACATTATCTATAGATTCATCAGATCTTAGGGAGAAGGAGAGACAAGGAAATTGTAATCCATCCTTTCAGTAGCCAAAAGATTCACGGGAGCATAGACCTTCATCTAGTGGAGTGACAGGTAAGACCACTGGAGATGCACTTAAGACCTGGAACTGCGTTTGGTCCTACTTATTCTGTCATGGGAAAAGACACAAGTGCTGCTGACTTCTCCGAGGCACAAGCAGAGCCACAGGCATGTGTCCTGGGCCAGCCTCAGGTCACAGCATACCTGACAGAGGCTCTTGTGACTTTCTCTGCTTTCCTGCTAGAGGACTCATGTTAATTCAAATGGCCGTGCCATTTGACGTGCACCCATAGCATCAGAACCTCTTAGAGTGGTTTTTAATGTCTTTTAAAGATTGTTGTCTACTTCATTATTTTCATTTTCTAAGCAAAAAAAAAAAAATCAGGTCTAGCGAGAGAGTGATGGGGAGGGGGTGACTTTCAGAGGAATAGCAATGATGATATGACTTTACCTTGGTCAAGCACAGACTCGGTACTGGGGTTGTTCAAAGCCTTCGAAGTCCTATTCTCATGGGTTCTTTCTGGCCCCACTCTGGACCTACTAAATCCGAAGTTCCTTAGGGCAGTTTCTGTGTGTACTGAAGTTCAGGAAGCACCGGGCTCCTCGTATGCAGAGTCATTGGACGATAGTAGCAGTAAGTACTTACAGCCTCATTCTTCATCTGGCACTGTGATAAGAGCTTTGAGCAACTTATTTTCAGAACATAAATTTTATGAGGGCAAAATCCCCCAGTGTTGAGAACAGTGCTGGCCTGGTGTGTAGTGTGAGAGATTTCAGGGAGTATTGGTGTTATTAGAGTCCCCAGTTTGACAGAGCAGATGCTGATGTATTGAGAGGACAGCATGCAACGGCGTCATGCCTTACGGACTTCAGAAGCTCCCTATGCAAAACTCAACGAGAATGTAAAATTTGGTTGTCTATTTTAAGACATGGGAACAAAAAATGTTATGTGGGGGCTGGAGAGATGGCTCAGCAGTTAAGAACAATGACTGTTCTTGCAGAAGACAGTTCTTGCAGAAGACCCGGGTTTGAATCCCAGCACCCGCATGGCAGCTAACAACTGTCCGTAGCTCCAGTTCCAGGGGATCTGATGGCCTCTTCTCTCCTTTGCGGGCATTGCACGACACAGGTGCACTTACCTACATGCAGGCATAACATTCATACATATAAAATAAAAATAATAAATAAAATTTAAAAAAATTATCTGCAGAAAAATTTTATGTAAGTATATCTATCCCACAACATTGTGAAGCAAGTAGTAATATCAATATTTTACTGATTTTCACCATTTTACTGATAAACTACCTAAAGCTCAGAGAAAAATGACACAGTTGCTGAGAAAGGGAAAAACAGAAGCACAGATCTGCCTGCCTCCAAATCTTTCCTTTTTCTAGGCCATTTGAAGTATCAAATTAACTGAAATTAGGGTAGCCCAAGCTACCCTAAAATGAGACTTGAAGTATCTATCAAAATAGAGTTAATTAGTAGCTAAACTAGAAAAGAAAAGAATCTATTTTAAAAGTAGCTTGCAGCTGAGAACTTGAGTTTGGAAGTGCATAGTCTTGGGCTTGAGACCTTTCTTGACCACTTACCACATTTGCTAAATTATGTAAATTCTGATCTAGAGATTTGGAGGCATTGACAGCAGCTTGATAGGCTGTGGGAGGATAACCTGAAGGCTTTCTCTCACACTACCCACCAGGCCAGTACTGTTCTCAACACTGGGGGATATTGCAGTGAACAATAACAAATGTTTGCCTTCATAAAATTTATGTTCTACTGAAAATGAGTTGTTCAAAGTTCTTAGCACAGTGGCAGATGAAGAATGAGGTTGTAAGTACTTAGTACTACTATCGTTCGATGACTCTGCATATGAGAAGACCAGTGCTTCTTGACCTTTAATATACATAGAATATTATTTAGTTTTCTGATTTAGTAGGTCCAGGATGGGCCTTGGGATTTTGCTTTTCCAACAAGCTCTGCATAGTGACCCTGATCAGCATCCACACAAAATTTTCAGCATTGGAAGGAACGTGGAGTCTTGTACATGCTAGACAAGCCCTCTATCATTGAGCTATTCCTCAGCCCTTGGCTTTTTTGAAACACCATCCTTCTATGTAGCTCAGCTTGATGATGAACCCCCTATATAGCTCATGCTAAGCCTCCAAATCCTCCTTCCTCTGCCTCCTGAGTGTCAGGATTACAAGTGTGTGCATTGTACCTGGTGGCAATCTGCATGTTGAGCTGCAAGAATAGAGCAGTCCTGACGTGTTTCCAGTAGGATGTTGAGGAAAACCTTCCCTTGATAACTCTGTGATACAAAAGAGATTCATATCCTGTCCCCAGAGATATTGAAGCATTCAGGTTCACATTGCTTCCTTTCTCCTGGATTGCCAATTAGATCTCAAGCAAAGGGAGAAAACCATAGCAACTGCCTTATGGCATTTACCCTATGTCGACCACTTTAAAATATGTTTTCCATCTTTGTTGAAATCCCATGAGAAATGCTGTACCCATTTTAGGAATGAGGAAACAGGTTCCTTGGATGATTGAATCTGCCCAAGTATACTGAGTGGCTTACATTGGGATACAGATGGATCTGACTCAGTAATGATGTTCTGGGAGGAAATGCAGCCACTGGGTGAGGGTGATCATCCCTCAGGATCTGCTATGTAACAATTTACTAAGGAACAAATAGTAAATCATGGGTGACAGGCACGATCAGGAGCTGATCAACAAGACAGCTGACACAGGTGAGGTTGGAAAGCACTCAGTGATGCCTGCTTTGGGAAACGTCTTACATGGTGAAGGAAAATGCTCCCAGCTTGTGTGTGATCTTTTTATGTGCTACAAAAACCTACTAATATTCCAGTTTCTCAGTGATTTTCCTGTCTGCACACCAAGACTGTGCAGCTAGAAACCCAAATGGATTTCCTCACATTATCTTTGGGTAAATGCAAATGTCTAGGCTGGCTTTGTATCAGAATAGAATACTCAACAGTCATATTAATTGCTTCGTATCTCTGGGTTCTTTTCTAATAAAGTAATTATTGCATCTAAATCACAGTCAGATTACCCAATCTTGCAGCTGTTTTGTGTTCTGATTGTCTGGCACTTTCATCTGAAAGAGAAGGTGTATTTATTGCAAAAAAGATTTTTAAAAATTTCTCCCTGAATCGAGGTAGAGAAGCAATCACCCAGATTAGATGAAAAAAATTGTTTTAAAACCTAGTATTTTGGTTCTCTGCACAGAACAGAGACTCAGAAACCAAATCAACAATCAGTCGCAGATTGGAGAAGGGCTCGTGGGGTCCCTACTCTTTACTCCTGAGCTATTGGCTACACTGATAGATTCTGGGAGAGGGAGAATCATTGTCTTTGATTGCAGACATACTGCTGAACCCACCAGCCTCCAGTGGATAGCTCCAAACCAATGGTCACACAGACAGTCCTGGTGAAACTCAGTGGTCACAAAACAAAACAAAACAAAACAAAACAAAACAAAACAAAACAGAGACAAGAATGTGAGAAAGAGATTTGTAGGCAAGAGGGAATGAAGATGGGGGTGGGAGAGTTAAGAGGGGGTGCAGGTGAGCATAATCAGTATGCATTATATACATGTATGAAACCATCAAAGAACAACTTTAATTAAAAAAGACACAAACCAAAAGAAAACAAAAGCATGGCCAAACAAAACCCACAACCCTTTGCTATAGTCTCAGTAACTTAAATGGGTAACTAATTAAACAAATATTTGAGGACTCCTCTAGGACAGATACCTTGCTAGCTCAGGGAAGACAGTGTAATCAGGACATGAGGCTGCAGCATGTGTGCATGTTGCTAGACATGGGAATGTGCCTGTGGCTCCAACTACTCAGGAATCCAAATCAAGAGGATAGTTCAGACCCTGTGCATTCGAGATGAACCTGAGACATTATCTCAAACACACAAACAAACAAACAAACAAATATTTAAAAAATTAGCAGAAATAAAGAGCATAAAAGTTGGCTTTTACTTCTAGTTACCATTTAATTAACATACATTAACTTAATTCTTATAGCAATTTTATAAAAATGATTACTTCAGTTTATAGATGAAAACACAAAGGGGCAAAGAAGTTAAATCTTTAGTCCAGGCTAGCATCTCAGGTAAGCTACCAGAGCTGAGGTCTTATTCTAAAATGCCTTCCTGGGCTCTCTATATTGGTAGAGTTGGTTTCTAGTGCTTTGAGACTTTTTCAGAGCTTTCTCCTGCCTCTCTCCTTCTCCTTCTTCTCTTTATTCTTTTCTCGGGTAAGTGAATTAACAGTGGCAACTTATTATTTTCCACTTCCAGCAGCATTTTCTTCAGATAGAAGACCTCAAAGACAGAGAGACGCTTCCCAGGAACAGTAGGGAAGTTACAGTGTAGTAAGAACAGTTTAGCTCTCCCCAAGGGCTCTCACATCTGTATTTCTCTTGAGTCTCATGTCACAGCAACTTTCAGAAGTGAATAGTCATATTTTCCCATACTTGATCACATGGTGAAAATATTTTGAATTTCAGTGTACAGATTTGAAATGTGAAAATGCTTTGTAAATTATCAAGGGTTCTACCAATGTTTGTGCAAATATTTACTACATGAAAATACCCTTTGCAATAAATTATGCAGCCATCAAGACAGACTCATCTATGGATGACTTTCAGGAGTGAGTGGAGAACTAGGCAAGACCATATTAGAAGGCAAGGTGTGGGTCTACAGGATTTGATTGTTTGCTCTGAATAAACATGGTCCAGGATTTGGGTTTTCATTTGGAGTTCCAAGCCTGTTGGGCACATATGCTATAATTCTCCCCATCAGCGCCTGTGAAGACATTGGTAATCAACCATAGATAGATAGCTTGTTTTCCTGCTTTGTGCAGACACATCCTGATGATATCCAGCCAGACCCTTTGGTAGAGTGTCCATTAGGCATATACCAAAAGAGATGAAATTGATAGATAAGCCTTGAAGCAAGCCACATATTTTCCAAAGAGCATTAAGAATTCTGTTCTCAACTCTGATTTTGAGGTTTTGGTTTTACCATAGGTTTTAATGTCAACCACCTGGACATTGCCCCCCGCTATGCCAGCATTCTCATGGGGATCTCAAATGGAGTGGGAACCCTCTCTGGAATGGTTTGTCCCCTCATTGTTGGTGCAATGACCAAGCACAAGGTAACAGTTTCCTTTGTGGCTATGGGCAACAGTATCACGGGGTGGAAGCACTGCCTAAACTTGAGATCTCAGTGACTTACCCCAGTGTGTCAGTATGTGTGTCCTTGACCTTGACTGAGTCTTGAACCACTTCCTCCTCTTCTTCCTTCTCTCCTTCTGTTTTATTATTAATCGATAGCACCAGGACTAATTGTTGTCTAGTGCCACAACTTTTCAGTTGAGAAATAAATTTTTTGGGAAGAGAAGTAAAGACCATAGAGACTGTTTAGGGACACAAAGAAGAAACTGAGGCAATCAGTTCGGGATGAATGAATTACTCAAGATTGTTTTATAATTCCGAGTTCTAAAATTTTATAGCCTATTTCCACTTATTACTTAGAATGTTTCATACAAAGTATTAGTGCAGCTCCATGCCTTGTTTAGAAGAAAGTAAACAAGACAGTAATGACCCTCTTAGGAACTGTCAAAGGGAGGCTGGAGAGATGGCTCAGTAGTTAAGAGCACTTACTTGCAACTCCTGCAGGATACACAGGTTTGGTTCCCAGCACCCACATGGTAGCTTAAAACTGCCTGTAACTCCAGTTCCAGGGCATCTTATGCCTTCTTCTGACCTCTGCAGGTATCATATACACATACGCAGGGAAAACACTCATATACATTAAAAAAAACCAAAATGCTTTAAGGGAGCAGCACTTAGTCTTTATTGAACATTTGTGGGACTTTTAATTTTTAACTTTTTAAGTTAAATTTTTTTCCTCAGGTAGGGTTTGGGTTTCTTACCCACTGGCTACTGGGCTAGGGAGAGACAGTCTCTTTCTAGGATGTGAGTCTTGGTGGGTTAACCTGGCTCCAGTGGATAGACCTACACTGAAGGATATTTGGAGACACAAATTAGACTCTATGAACCTTATTATATATATATAATAGAGTACATTAAATTGGGCAAGGGACAGTAAAGGGAAATGTGGATAGGAAAGGAGATATATTATAATTATATTATATGAAAATCACAAAACTTCAATTAAAAAATTCTAAAAGAAAAAATTTCTTAAGGTCTCTTATAGTCTGGCCTTGAACTTGCTATGCAATCAAGGCCAAAGCATTGAATTATAGGTGTGTGCCAACACACCCAGTTTGAACAGTGCTTGGGATTGGACCTAGGACTTGGTTCATACTGGACAAGCACTCTACTAACTGAGCTATATCCTCACCTTGAACTTTTGTGCATATATTGTAGCACAGGTGGGAGAGGGAGATCCCATAATCCATACAGAGTTTAGCTACAGGCCACAGAATTTCTGTATCTCTGTCAGTGGAAAAACTTTCAGGAAGCTGGGCTGGAGAGTTAGCTCAATAATTAAGAGCACTGGCTGCTCTTGCAGAGGACCCTGGTTTGGTTCCCAGCACCCACATGGTGGCTAACGGTTGTCAACATTGCAGTTCCAGGAGATCTGATGTCCTCTTCTTGCTCCCAGAGGCATTGCATGCACAGGAGCACTTACAGACACACAGGCAGAACACTAATTCACATAAAATAAAAGAATTTATTTAAAAATTCAGGAATCTGTTTTCTTCAAAAAGGAATTATTTGATGCCATTTTAAAATTGCTTTCTTAGTTAGATTGCTTATGTATATGACTTCAGAAATTCTTCCATATTCTTAGAGGAGAAAATGTGATGTAACTTTTCTTGCTTTTTGACAGAAAAAAGAAGGTGGGATTTTTTTGGAATAAGTAAAAGATGCATGTTTTTACCCTGTTCATGAGATGATGGTATTGGTAACATGACTATTAAATCTAAGTTACTATCTTCTACTAACTTCCCATTATTTTTATTTTGCTTTTTTTTATACAGAGACTATGATTATCAATAAGCTATTGACAGTCAAGGTTGAAGACTTTAATGGCTTAGACACTGTTGTATGTCCAACAACAGACAGGAAAGGAGAGCTCAGTTATTTAAAATGATGGGATCCTACAACAAGTTTAACTTCACCTATTGAGTGAAAGGAAACACTATTTGCATATTTAAAAAGTTGTGTAAGGGTGCGACATGTAGATTTACATGTTTATTTTAAAATATGTTTTTAAAATTAAAAACATATAGGCTGGGCATGGTGGCACATGCCTTTAATCCCAGCACTCGGGAGGCAGAGGCAGGTGGATCTCTGTGAGATTGAGGCCAGCCTGGTCTACATAGTTAGTTCCAGGCCACCTGGGGCAGAAGGGAGACCCTGTATCAAAAAGACAAATTTATATTTATGTTTATATTTATATAGTCTTATCTTTCATTTTTAAGCACTCACATTAAGTGCAGATCCTAGATGCTGATTCTAACACATGTCCATTCAGAAGCACAGAATGATCTTGGAGTGTCCAGATGCTTTGCTTCAGTGGAGGCCTTTAGGACAAGCTGTTAATCTCTGTTTTTGGTTAACACATTAATCTGTACTTTATTTCTTTGTTTAGACCCGTGAGGAATGGCAGAATGTGTTCCTCATAGCTGCCCTGGTACACTATAGTGGTGTCATCTTCTATGGGGTCTTTGCTTCTGGTGAGAAACAGGACTGGGCTGACCCAGAGAATCTCTCTGAGGAGAAATGTGGAATCATTGACCAAGATGAATTAGCTGAGGAGACAGAAATCAACCATGAGACTTTTGCGAGTCCCAGAAAGAAAGTGTCTTATGGAGCCACTACCCAGAATTGTGAAGTCCAGAAGAGTGAATGGAAGCAGCAGAGGGGAGTGACCTTTGAGAGGGAAGAGCCATTATCCTACCAGAATGAAGAGGGAAACGTCTCAGATGCATCCTAACATCTGTCTTCTCACCTAACAGTCAGAAAGCATCCATACATACTGCCTTCCCCATACCTCAGCTTGCCAGAGCGCCAAACCCTAGGACACTGGAGGTAGCAGGAGAGTAAATCAACAGACAAAAGAAATGCTTTCTTTAGTGACATGAGTATGGAGCTTGTCTCAGTTGACACAGTAGTTGCTCATCATTTTCTTTTGGGGGGGTGCAGATTAGCAGTTGATCATTCTCTCAAAGAACTAGTTATTCAGAAAGGAATGACTAAAAGAAAAAGAAATACCTTGTTCAGATAAACATAGAAGGAAATCCCCACATGGCCTGGAGGAGAATAAATGGTCACTGCTTCCATATCTTCTGGGCAGGCGTGCTGAGGAAGGTTTCCTATTTCTAATGAAGGGAACCTCTCAAGGAAGTCCTCTGTTGTGCCAGGTGCTTTATAAACACTCTTATTTAACCTCCACATCCCTATGAAATATATTTATTATCCCCATTTTGCAATTAAGGAGACTAAGAAACAGATCTGACCAAGGTCAGCCTGCCATGTCTGGAGCTGAGATTGGCAGAGTCCCAAATGAGTGGGAGTTTTAGGAAAAAAGATTCTATTCCAGTGTGGAAGACATCTTTAATAATGAAAACTGAAATTAGAATCAGTTGTTTTGTGTATAATTCCATGTTTTTGGCAGGTGTGTGTGTGTGTGTGTGTGTGTGTGTGTGTCTGTAAATATTTAGGTTAATGTGGCAGAGGGGATTAAAAAATTACATGAGGGTTTTAACTCAAAGACCTTTAGGGACTTATATTACCTGATGAGTCCAACAATTTGGTGAATCGATAGCTTTTTTCCATAAGAGTCTCTGACTATATGAAATTCCATGTTTTTGGCAGGTGTGTGTGTGTGTGTGTGTGTGTGTGTGTGTCTGTAAATATTTAGGTTAATGTGGCAGAGGGGATTAAAAAATTACATGAGGGTTTTAACTCAAAGACCTTTAGGGACTTATATTACCTGATGAGTCCAACAATTTGGTGAATCGATAGCTTTTTTCCATAAGAGTCTCTGACTATATGAGATATTCAAATAAGTTTTGAAAAGTCAAAGCAAGATAGCTCAATTTCCAGGAATCCAGTGTTCAGAATGGAAGCAAACAATATGTTCACTACTAAATTGAAACCCTCTATAGAATCAATAATTATTTGGCTAAATGGTATTCAGAATTACTTAGAAACCTTTAAGACATTTAATAATTTAAAAAGCGGGTTAATGCGTTTTTTTGGTAACAGCCTCTGAAAGAGTCTTTTGTTCAAACACATGTATGTCACCAGCCTTTTCTGAATATTATAGGGATATGATCAAATCATAAGAAATCATGGCTGAAGTATTCATAATGACTATTTGAAATGGTGTTCAGTGAAAACACAAAAATATAGCTGTAGTTTTGAGGAGAAACATTGGAATGAATATGTCTGCAACAACTAGACCTGTAACTGATGCTGAAAAAAATCATCTATAATTGCATTAGGCAATGCCATGGATACTATCTAAATATATTTAAAAATGTATAGTTGGCATATAAGAGGTTATTTGAAGATAAATTATTTTCCTGTTCATTAGTTCTGAAAATTTTATTTTTATTTTCAGAAGAAAAATTTAATATGATGGAAAAAATATAGATTGTAGTTTATTATAGTAAAGTATTTTTTTCTTAATTTCTTCCATTTTATTTCTGGTTCTGATTGTACCTAAGTAGTTATAATGTATTTTATAAAAAGACTAATCTTAGATTAAAAAGAGAATTGATGAATTTTCATTCAATAATATTCTTTATGTCACTTGTACATAATTTCTGTTATTAGACATCTTCAAATCTCTATTGAGTGAATCCGTATCAGCCCCTTAGAACAGTGCCTGGCATGTAGAAGTGTTCAATAACTATAAATCACTATCAGCATAATCTTTTAACTCTTGCGTGATCTTGTTATTTGTTAAAGAATGCTATGTCATGTCATCCATGGGTCACAGAGTTTATTATGAAAATTGTACTGTTTTCTCAGTAAAAAAAAAAATCAGAAAATGAAAGCCAGTGATTTTTCTTTGTGTTTGTCAATAAAGTAAAATACCTATATGTATGAAAAAAAGTCTCATGATAATATTTAAGGTAATATTGTAGATTGTGAAAAATCCATTATTTAAGTTGATGTCATACAGAAATACCACATTTTGTTTATAACTTGCCCTTATTATATTTTTAAGTGGAGAGCTGAATCATGGAATTAAAAGTTAAAGCACATTGCTTTGTTTTGATGCTTTATTCTGTGCATGTTAAATTGGGCTGACAACTATATTTGAATAACATTGAAATTAACAGCAAGCTTTTATATATTTTTGCTCCTAATGAAGGTGGAGTGTGAATTCTAGCAGGAAGGAGTTTGGGGAGGCGTGTTGGCTATTGAAATAAAGCTTTGCGTGTACTTTTCAAAGTTTTGAATATTCCTGAATATGAGGAGGAAAATAATTATTTTTTTAACGCATGCAGACCATGCGTTATGCTTGCTGGTTGTTAAATCCAACAGGTAAATATTGGAGTCCACTATTTCTATTTTATTTTGCCTACTCTCAAGCCCAATAAACCTATTTTTCCTTTTCCCTTATTGGTTAGGTTCATCCCATTGTCCCTTTGGTCAAGTTCAGAATCATCTTTGACTCAAGAAAATTATCAGAGTTCTCTTCTGCCAAGTTTATTTAGTTTATCTTTTCATATGTAGATCCATGTCCGATATCAACTCTGGAAAATTCTGCCATTATCTCTCATGATGCTGCTTTGTTTTTTGAGCCCAGTGCTTTTCATTAGGGCTGCTTAAAGGAGCATGGACACTTTACCACTGGCACTTACCACTGAAGAAAATGTCCCTTCTCTCCTAGCAACCATTATCTGCCTATAGATCCTCACGGAGGGGTGGGCTTCTTCCCTACTTCATCACAGGATGTTAGCTTTGGCCCAAGTTTGTGCAAGTCTTCTACAGGTAATCACAGCTGCTGCCAAGAGAAGCTTCCTCAATTATGGCTGACAGCATTTGTCTATGGGTATAAACATAAATAATTGTTATTTTTTTAAGGTTTTTTTTTGGGGGGGTATATCTTAGTTGGAGCCAATTTTGCCACGAAGATGGTTCCATTGGTAAAATAGTGGCATGAGTGTTTTTGTGTGTGGAGGTAACCAACTGCTTTCTGAGAAGACTTGAGGCCATCTATACATTCAACAGAGTATTAATATCCAGAATATACAAAGAATTTTAAAAAAGCATCAAGAAAACAACTCAGTTAAAAGAATAGGCCATTGATCTGAACAGAGAGTTCTAAAAAGAAGAAATACAAATGGCTAATAAATGTTTTAAAAAGTGTTCAACGAACCACGCCTGGTGGTACATGACTTTAGTCTCAGCATTCAGGAGGTAGAGGCAGTCAGATCTCTATGAGTGCCTGGAGAGCTGTAGATCCTGACTCAAAAAGACCAAACTAAACCAAATAAAATAAAAACAAAGTATTCAAACAAAGTGTTCAACATCATTAGTCATCAGAGAAATGCAAATTATATCACTTTGAGATTCTATCTCATCCTAGTCAGAGAGGCTATCATTACCAAACAAACACCCAGAAAATTCTGGTGAAGATGTGAGCCAAAAGGGACCCTTATTCACTGTTGGTGGGAGTCATGTCATGCAGCCAGGCAGTCCTGGTACTCACTATGCAGCCCACACTAGTCTTGAGGTCATGGCAATCCTCCTGCTTCAGCCCTCTGAGTGCTGAGACAACAGTTGTTTTCTACCACATCTGGCTCCTTTTATTTCAATTAAGATTAATAAATTAGTCTTATTAATTTTTTTCTGTGCTGAGGATTGAACCTAGAACCTTCTATATGGCAAACAAATGCTCTACCACTGAACTAAACACTGCCCTAATTCTTAAATCCATAATCAAATATGAGTTTTAACCTAGTGAATAAACTAATTAAATATCTAATTTAAGATTAAAGCCATATAATCTAATTTTAATTTAAACCTAGTCTTAAATCTTCATGTGTGCTTTGTGCTCCTTGGCTTCTCCTCTCTGGTAGTCATTCCGAACCATGGTGATCTCCAGGTCAGGACAGAGCCCTGCTTATTTTAGTGGATGGAATGAGCCTGGTAGTTTAGTCCAGATCCAAGTGTAGACACAGATGAGAAGCCAGATGAGAGTGTGAGGATCCTTGTCTCACCAACTGCTAGGTTAGACTGACACCTGAGAACTGGTATGAGTGTGTGTGTGTGTGTGTGTGTGTGTGTGTGTGTGTATGTATATATGTGCATATGCGTGTGCATATATATGTGTGTGTGGGGTGGGAGGAGGCAAGGTTTTCCATGGAACTGAATTTTCCCAAACATTCTGTGTTACAGTCCCTGAAGAGTAGGTGTCTACTCTTGGAATTGGTGGAAAATTATGCTGCTGTTGGGGCATTTAGGTTGACTTAGTAACCTTGACACATCAGATGTAGGTTACATTTGCTTTCTAAAATTGTAATTTATAGTTTAAAAACATGGAGAAAAACGAAGAAAAGTTACATTTAGGATGTTGAATGAAGATGTACGAATCTTAACTGTCTTTGGTGGCACTCACTAAAATAAGAAGGAAATTCTTGTATTTCTGCAACCAGAGAAGCTGCAGAATTGAAGACATCAACACCAGCACCTTGGGGGATAGACTGAGGGGAAGGAAGTGGAGTTGGAGGACAAGGGCTGGAAACAACGATTGGCTGAAAGGGATTTAGCAGCCCTGTTGAAAACAGATGCATGGAGCAGCTTTGAGTTCCCAACCAGTGCAACCAGGAACTTGCTTATCCACATTTCTGATGGTGGAGGGTTCTGGATTTGAAAATACCCATCATAACTAAATATTAGCTCCAGGATGTAGAGAACTTAGTCTGTTTTGGTTACTCATGTGCATCAAATATTGGGAATAGTGCCTGCCTGGCATTTAAAAACTACTTGGTAAATAGTTGCCAAACAAAGGAAGAAAAGAAAATGAACTTTATTAAAAACGGGGAAAGTAAAGGTTTGCACATGGAACACCGAAAACTTTGACTGCTTTCCTGGGCTCAGCGTTCAAAATATTCCCAGTCAGGCTCATATCCCTCGTGGAGGTGATGAAGGATATCGCTGAGGGAAGGGTATGAACACAGTAAGAAAAAGGGCTTAACGCTGCTATTTGGGTGGTTCCCAATTCAAATAAGTGTATCTTTGCTCATTTATGCCCTGTGAGGCCTGCCCAGTAGCAACAGGAATCGTGGTGTTGGTTTGTTCATTCATTCATTCATTCATTCATTCATTCATTCATTCATTCGTTTGTTCATTCATTCAATTATTTAGCATTTACAGTTAGTACCTCAATTTATTTTATGTGTATGAGTGTTACACCTGCATGTGTGTAAGTGCACCTGTGTTGTGCAATGCTTGTGGAGGTCTGAAAGGGTGTCAGATCCCTTGAAACTGGAGTTGTGGATAGTTGTTGGCTACCACATTGGTGCTAGGATTCGAACCCAGGTCTTCTGCAAGAACAGCCAATGCTCTTAACTGCTGAGCAATCTCTCCAGCTCTGAGTACCTCAGTTTTTGAGAACTTACTGTGTCAGGCACTGGTGATGGAAAACAAATCTGCTCACATGTTTTTTATTACTTACATTCTAGAGGAAAGATATAAAAATAGTCTGCTAACTAATAAATCCAGGACTCGGTATATCAAGAGAGTGATAAGTGCTAAGAACATGCATAAACTAGGGTAAAAGGGACAGGGATTGCTAGGGTTGATGTGTTATATCAAGTTTTCACAGATAAAGCAGGCTGAAAAGAGAACTGAAGGCCAGAAGGGCCTAAGTTAAGGGAATTTGGGGGCAAGGTTTCCCAGAGGAAAACAGCAGGAGTAAGGCCTCAAGTGGAGACATGGTTTGTCATATCTAAAGATCAGTAAGTCCCTTAGGGTGGCCAGGTTCTGGACATATTTTGATCGAAGAGAACATTCCCTGCAAGGCAGGCATGGTGGGAATCAGGGATGTCAAAGTTGTTTGATTTTTTACTTTTACTTATCTACTTATGTCTGCGTTGAGCTGTCAGGCGGTGGAAATATAACCTAGTTGTCAGCACACAAGTCAGAGCTGGAACTGTCATTTTTGAGTCAGCATTACATCACATGGTTAGTATATAAAGCCAGGAGATGAGGTGGATAATCAAAACTCTACCATAGAGAAGGACATGGGTGAGCCTTGAGAATACTCCAACACAGAGACTGGAAACTAAGCTGAAGCCAGCAGAAGAAAAGGTAGGGTAGAGGCACCCAGAGAGGGGCCCCTTGCTGTGCCAAGAAAATCTGGCATAGTGTAGAAGACAGTACCATGAGTTGGGTCCAAGCATCTGCCAGGCTAGGTACGCTAATGTGGAGGTTATGGTGACCCTGACAGAACAGTTTTAAAATAGTGGTTATCACAAAACACCAAATAGATTAGGTTCAATAAAGGACTTTTAAAAAAATCATCTTCCCTTTACTTATGAGCAAACAGACAAGAATTTTCACACAGTTTAGGGAACTTTGCAATACAGACAGAAGAAAGGCACTTGGAGGAAATCAGACCCCACAGGGTACGGTAGAATAAAGCTTAATTTAGAAGAGATTGCATGCATGAGACAAAAATAGAATTTTATTTGTAAAGAGGGGTAAAACTTCCAGAAGAGAAACAAACTGGGCTAGATAAAGAAAATACAGTGTCTGGAAAGTCAGTTAGGAGACTATTTCAATCATTTAGAATGAGAGTCCAGAGCAGGATTTGGGCAATGGAAAGAGGGGGAGGGGGAAGCAAAGCTTCAAAAAATATTTTAGAAATCAGCTTTGTTGAGATACAAGTCACATACAATTAATCTGGCCAAATATGAGACTCAACAATTGTGCAGCTATCCTCACAGTCAATTTGAAGATTTGAAGTGGACAAATGACTGAAATTCCAGGGTGTGAAAGCACTTTAAACACGTGTGTCCAAGATGAATTGTTACCCACCTCCTTGCTAAATATGTGAGCATTGTAATAAAATGTCTGGATTCTGAAGTAAAGTTTGTCAGAAGCTAGTAACTTAAGACATACCATTAACATGGAGAACTTTGATCCTGTCAGCCATCCAAATAAGGGAAAACGGTCAGGAGCTGCCAGGTGGATCCACGTGTTCCTCCCCCAGCCTTCCCCAGTAGAAATGGATGGCATCAAGCCTTGGCCAGGGCTGAGGATTCATTTTCCTTTGCAAAACCAGGGAGGCAGCAGAGCTTTTCTGCTCAAGCTCCCACATTGCCACGCATTTGCCATAGCACAAGTGTCATGAGGTGGGAGCCACTGCTGTCCTATCTGGAAACTGGATGTGCCTCTGCTGTTCTGGATGGAGTTGGTATGGGAGAAGCTTCCAGGGGGTGAGATCTTCAGACTTCTCTATTTGGGGTCCCTGGATGGAACTCATAGACTGCACTCAGAAAGTGTGACCTGAATGTTGATGGATCTGTTCATTTTTCTCTGTGTTCTTCCCTACTCTGTAGCTTTAACGCTACTATGATTCAATAGAGGCTAGCATTTTCCCAGGGCCGGCTGCAGAGGGTGCTGAGTTGGCAGAAACCTTATAACTATGCAGTGGTTTTGCAGTGACTGCCTGGTGTATCTTTTCTGGAAGCTCAACTTTTTGACTCAAGCATCTGGTTTTCCTTCTTGGCTTCTTTTGCCTTCTTTCTTTGTTTATCACATTTCACTGCCTCCTTCCTTCATTTGAATTCTTGTCTTCTCATCTTGGGTAACCCCATTTCCATTTTCCTAATAGATTCCTGAAGTTTGACTCATAGCCATGGCTGGTTATGTAGGTAAGTACATTTCCAATATATTCCCCTTACATCTATTCCTGCCATTCCATAGGTGCTGGATAGCTTTAGTGTCAACTTGACACACCTGGGTTGAGAGAGCCTCAATTGGAGAATTACCTCCATTGGACTGGCCTGTGGCCATGTCTGTGGGGCATCTTGATAATTGAGTGATGTTGAGCCCACTGTGGGCAATACCACCCCTGGGCAGGTGGGCCTATGTTGTATAAGTAAGCAGATTGAGCATGGGCCGGGGGAGCAAGCCAGTAAGGAGCATTTCTCCACGGCCTGTGTTCTAGCTCCTGCTTCCAGGTTCCTGCCCTGAGTTTCTACCTTGGGCTCCCTGATGAACTGGGACCCAGGAGATATAAGGCAAAATAAACCCTTTCCTCCCCAAGTTGGTAGTGGTCGGAGTGTTTTGAATACCATATAACAACTCAGCCTCTGGAATTAAGAGGCTAAACTCATTTTGAAAGTACTGGCATAATTTCCTCTCAAACCATGTAACACCTGACTACAATATTTACTAAAGCAAGATGAACAGCACTCCTAGGAGATAACGTTAATGTCCTGAGAAATTAAAGGAAAATACTAGGAGGTACTGGGAATAAATAGCCATAAAAGCTAGTTAAGTAGTACTACTTAAAGAACTGTTCAAAATAATGCTATTTATGAAATCAAAGTGAATCTCATTTCTCTGCAGATCAAATAATTATGCACAGCAAGAGTAAGCATCCTGACTTTTCTAATTACATAACTTTTTCACAAAATAGCTTTTTGTGTTTTAAGAGTGCCACTTGTTCAAAGTTGTTTCCAAGATTTCATGGTCAAAGATTACCTTTTACTCTACATTTTAAAAAATGATGTAATTCTTCTTGATTATTTCAGCATAACACAATCAAAACAGATTTTACAGAGACTTTGGTTTTAAATATTTTTTGGGAATAGATTTCATAATCTTTTCTGGCCTAAAATTAAAATATGATCCCAGTTTCATCAGAATTTTAAAGTTCTGTTTAAAACTTTTTTGTTTTTAAGAACTTCATACATGAGTACTGCATTTATATCATTTCTACCCTCCTTCTCCATGCCTTCCCCACCCCTCCCTCTCAATTTCGTGACCTCTTCTTTAATTATTATTGCTATATATATACATATACATATGGTTTACATATCCGTATATATATACATATATGTAAACCTACTGAGTCTACGTAGTGTTGCTCATGTGTACATGTGTTTAGGGCTGATCACTTGGAGGGAGCTTATCCCTGGAGAAAACTGATTCTCCTCTCATCAGCCATTAATTCCCTATAGCTCTTCATCTAGAGGTGAAATCTCAGTATGGTTTCCTGAACACAACCTACATAAAGACACCAGTTGACATGGTAACATGCACAGAGAAAATTTCACAAGGTCCCACTTCTAGATAAAGAATTAAAAAACATTTTATTTATTATTTTTATTCTATGTGTATGCATGTATTGCCTGCATGTATGTAAGTGCACCCATGTCATGCAATGCCCACGGAGGACAGAAGAGGCTGTTGGATCCCCTGGAACTGGAGTTGCAGACGTTGTTAGCTGCCATGTGGTTTCTGGGATTTGAACCCGGGTCTTCTGCAAGAACAACCAGTGCTCTTAACCACTGAGCCAACTCTCCAGCTTCTAGATAAAGAATTTTTAAATTCTCAATTGAAATGGGGCAAAGAGTCAAATGAACGGGGTTAAAGGTATGTGCCACCATACACTTTTAAAGTGTACAACCAGTGGCTTTTAGCATATTCACAAGTTTGTGCAGTCAATGTCACTATTTATTCCAGGACAAATTAATCACTACAGGAAAAAAAAACACACTGTGTTCATTAGTTGTCAACCCCCCATCTGCTTCTTGTCTCTATGAGTTTGCCCACTTATGACCATTTCACATAACTGACTTCATACAGCATGCAGCCTCTTGTTTGACTTCTTAGCACGTATTTTTGGAATTCATCCATACTACAGCACATCTCAGTAGTTTATTCCATTTTCTGTTGAATAACATTCCATCCCATGCATTTACTGTGTTTGGTTTGCTTCTGTTATTTGGATATTATACCTAATGCTTAATCCCTGTATATTTTAAAAAGCCTTTACTGTTTCATGGGATATTTTCAATTTTCAAGGATATGGTGGAACTATCTCATTGGCTCTCCACAGTTGTTAGACTGACGTAATTTAAATAGAAGATCTTGAAACCTGGGGAGATAGCTCAGCGGGTAAGAGCCATCTTGCTCTCAAAGCATTGAAGAGTTGAGTTCAAATCCCTAGCACTTGGTTACAGCTATGCAGGTCTGTAACTCTAGTTTTGTTTAAGTTGGTTTCAAGGCTGGTAGATCCTGAGAACTCACTGGCCAGCCAGTCTAGTCAAAACAGAGAACTTCTGGATCAGTCAGGGATCCTGTCTCAAGGCAATAAAGGAAAGACCAATAGAGGGGGATACCCAGTGTCTTGCTCTGGCCTCTGCATGACATATGTACACATGGGCTCTCTCTCTCTCTCTCTCTCTCTCTCTCTCTCTCTCTCTCCTCTCTTGCTCTTTGTTACATTTACACACACACACACACACACACACACACACACACACACACACTTTCTCCCTTTTTCTTAAGAATCCTCCAATGGCTCCCATTTCACTCAGAGTGAAAGCTGATCCTGAATTCACTCTCAGCCACCCTTGGGTTTGTTGTGACTGCATCACTCTGGGTTTCTCCTGTGCCTCAGCTTCAATGGGACTCAAACTGATACTCAAACACATGGCTGGGCTCCCCTCAGGGTCCTATTTGCCTGCCTGACCTCTCTTCTCCACAGGCCTCAGTGGGTTGCTTGGTCAACACAGGCATCAGATCTTTGGCTGGATAGCACCTTCTCAGACCTTTCCTGGCCTCACTATTGAAAAGAACTGCCCCTCACCCTCATGCTTTGCACAGCCCACCTCCCTCCTTGCTTTGCGCTTCCCTTGAGACTTATTCAACCCACATATTTTACCTTATGTCTCACCTTCACCATTAGAATGCAGACTCCACAAGTGTAGGAGTTTTCATGTGTTTCTTCTGATGCTATGTCTCTAGTAACCAGGACTGTGCCCAGTAGATCGGTAGGTATTTGCTAAATATATGCACAGTGACTGAACAAGTGGCTTGGGCTATATGAAACATCGGATTGCTTTGTGCCTGGCTGGAAGTACAGCTTGTACTGTGAGTCTAACTCATGATGATCAAAAGTTGTAATGAGTGCAAGTTTTTGATCAGGGTCATAAGTTTGATCCATTTAAAAAAATTCAGAAATGGTCATTTGAGGCATCAATGTATTTGGTAGAAGAAAGTTGGAAAATTGGATTTCTGCATGAAGATTGTGGTGAGGGAAGGGAACAAAGGGGAAGGCCGGGCACTGAGAAGCTTGGGACCAACAGTCTCAGAGGGTCTTGGAGCATTTGGTTAATTGCTGAGAAATTCCAGGAAAAAGAGCTCTAAATAAACGTTTATCAGCACATACCATTGAACTTGCCTGTTCAAAGGTTTCTGTTGCAATTCATTTTGGCAGCCATTATATAAAACTGAGGCAGCAGAAAGTGACAAAGGTTTTATTTATCTCCTGTTATTATCTGTTGACTTTTGAAGGGCTCGGAAACGAACAGCCATAGATTAGCTAACCTGTTGGGAAGCGTGAAGCAATATCTTAGGAGGCCCAAGGTTCCATCAGCCCCCATTTTTGGTAGAGTTGTCTAAACGGACCCTAGAGAGCAGAGGAATGGGTTCAAAGGCACTCCATTCAATAAAATCTGTCTAAGGTGAATGGAAATAGAGTGTGGGAGCATGAATACCAATTCTCCCTTCCAAGTGGACACTCTGATTTATTTGGTCACCCTTGTCAGTACTGCAACTTGATAGGAAAGGTATGATTTTTTTCCCATTTACTATTCAAGAAACAAAGACACACAGAAGTTAAGTAACTTGCTCAAGGTCTAAAGTACATGGCAGACCTAGGTTTAACATCCTAGTTATCTTTGACTATGGAAATCTTTAGCCTTTCTCTGAATTATGGTGTCTCCAAATGGGAAATTCTTTCTCTCAGGGCATCATCGTTCCCATCCCTTGTCATTCATGAACCATAATGATGATGGTGACGATAATCGTAACAGCAACATGTATTTACTAGATGACTTCCAGTAAAAGCATCCCGTTGTAGCTTCTGGGAACATATAAATATTTAAAAGAAGAAAAATGTATTCTCTTGTGGAGAAATAAAGATAATACACATAATGTTCAGTTTTTATATTTTTACGTTTTAAAATATTTTATTTATTATTTTTATTTTATGTGTATGAGTGTATTGCCTACATGCATGTAAATGCACTGTGTTGTGCATTGCCCATGGAAGTCAGAAGAGGGTGTTGGATCCCCTGGACCTGGAGTTACAGATTGTTGTTGGCGGCCATGTGGGTGCTGGGAATTGAACACAGGTCCTCTGCAAGAGCAGCCAGTGCTCATAACTGCTGAACCATCTCTCTAACCCCCGTGTTCCGTTTTCTTAGAAATGTGATGAGGAAAATTCACAGAACAAGGTAATGGAGATTAGAAGGATTCAAGTGATAAGTTCAAGTGCAGTGATAAAGCAGGGTATCACCCTGGAGCAAATACTTAGAGAGGATGCTGACATCCCTGGCGAAATGTTTGAGGTAGGGAAAAGCCAGTGCAAAGGTGTTGAAGTAGAAATATATGTTTGGGTGTGAGGAAACAAAATACTCTTTACTGGAAGCATGGGCACAGGGGAGAGAGTGACAGGTGGTGAGGTGAGGTAAATCAAGGTTAGATCGTGTGGGGCACTGTAGGTTCCTGAACAGAGACTGGCTCTTTCAGTGGAATGAGGGAGCCTTGTAGGGTGTTGGGACAATGAATAACAGGGCCCAGATTACATTTTAAAAGGAGCCCTCTGTAGTCTTGAGAAGTGAAGGGCGAGAAGTAGGGTCGGAGCTGGTGAAAATCTTCAGTGATTGAGATGAGAGCTCTGTTTGGTTTAGATCAGGTGGCAGTGGTGACATAGAGGGACATGATGAGTTTTGGTTAAGATTTGCTGAGAGACTTGAGAGAAAGAAAGGAATCAAGGATGTCTATTACATCCTATCAGAGGCCTATCTGTCTCCTCTGACTGAAGCCTCTAAGCACAACCACATAAGGAACTGACACAATGTGTGTGACACATGGACAAATAGTTTATAGTCTGAGAGGAAACTAAATACTGTAAAGTAGTTTGTCAAAACACTGTATACAAGTTGTAGTCTTTAGAAGTGTAAGTAGCAAGAAGCAGAATCGAATGTCTTTTAAAAATATTTTATTTATTATTCTTTATTTCGTGTGTATGAGTATATTGCCTGCATGTAAGTGCACCTGTGTTGTGCAATGGCCTGTCCAATGACCTGGGAGGTCAGAGGAGGGCATCAGATCCCTTAGAACTAGAGTTATTGATGGTTGTTAGCCGTCATGTGGGTGTAGGGAACCGAACCCAGGTCCTCTGCAAGAACAGTCAGTGCTCTTAACCACTGACCCATCTCTCCAGTCCCCATAATCTAATGACTAGCTTTCTGCTTGGTCCACACTTGAGTAGCCTCCATTTTTCTTGGTGTACAATGGTAATTGTTCTTCTGCCTTGATTACGAGGCAATAGAAATTCCATGAGAACAGGGACTTTGTCTGGATTGCTGTTGGCCTAGGCACTTAGAAAGATAGCTGACACATAGTAGGTTCTCAATAAATAGTTGTTGAATGACTAAATGAAAGAGAATGTTCTTAAAGAACTTTGAGAAAAATACATAGATCTATATTAGGTTAATTATTAGTGAACTAAGGCAACCACTAAGGCAAGCAGCTCACCAGAAGGCCTGAACTCATAAGACAATTACTTTTCTTTAACTCAGCCTGTCGTTTCTGCTTGTTCATGTAATGGAATAATGATGATGCCCCCTTGGAGTTTCTAGCCCCTGGGGCCTCACACACATTTTTATTAGCCAACAGCACCTGGACAACCTATATAAGCACAGTTTGCTGAACATCATTTTTAAAACTAAGAATATCTGTTCACTTGCCTGTCTCATCAGAGAGCTTCTTTGCACCTTGTATCTGATTGGTGATGAGGCTGACAATGGACATATAGCAGGTAGGGGCTGGAGAGATGGCTTAGTGATTAAGAACAATGGCTGTTCTTGCAGAAGACCCAGGTTTGAAATCTAGCACCCACATGGCAGCTAACAACCATCCTTAATTCCAGTTCCAGGGATCTGACACCTCTTCTGTCTTCCGTGGGCATTGCATGATGTGGGTGGATTTAAATAAATGCAGGCAATACATGCATATACACAAAATAAAAATAATAAATAAAATATTTAAGAAAAGAAATACTGCAGATACAGAAGCTGAGGCCTCAAGGTCTACTTGCAGGTGGATGAATTAATACATGAGAGCGCTTAGAACTGGGCATAGCAAGAGCTCAGGAAACACTGGCCATTCCCCCTAGACCTGCAGGTCTTTCCTCCCCGCACTGCTCTCTGTGTCTTCCTTCTTCCCTCCTTTCCTTTCTCCTTCCCTTCCTTACTAACCCAATTAGTTTATAAATGCTTTCTGATACTTGTTTTGTGGCAGGTACTATGTTACATGTAGGAGAATGAGACAACTGTACTCCTGCTCATGAGATCGTCACATGAAGTCAATTGGAAAACAATGTGGAGAGGGATAGTTCAGCGATGGAGCCCTTGTCTAGCATGTGTGAGTCCTGGTTCAATCTCTAGAACTGAAAAAAAGATGACAATGGCATCATCCAACCTTTGCCCTGAGATTTTTATTAATGTAAATAGATGCTTGAGTGGATGCCCTTAAGTTCCCCAGATTTTGAGGTCATCACGTCTTCTCTCTCTCTCTCTCTCTCTCTCTCTCTCTCTCTCTCTCTGAAAATTTAATAAAGATATTTGATGCTCATTTAAGTATCTGGACTGATAATACATTTGAAAATTTATTATTATTTTTTATTTTATGCGTATGCATGTATTGCCTGCATGTAGGAAAGTGCACTCATGTCATGCAATGCTCGTTGAGGACAGGAGAGACTGTTGGATGCCCTGGAACTGGAGTTACGGACAGTTGTTAGCTGCCATGTGGGTGCTGGGATTTGAACCTGGGTCTTCTGCAAGAACAGCCAGTGTTCTTAACTGCTGAGACATCTCTCCAGCCCAGATAATACATTTTTATGTTTAAAAATTTATTATTTTAGAATTTTGGACATATATACAATGTATTTTGATCATATCGACTCCCTCTCCCCCCTCCCGCTTCTAACTCTTCCTCCTGCCTCTCTGCCTTCTACCATGTCTCCTTCCCAACCTCAGGTCTTCTTTTCTCCTCCTCCTCCTCCTCCTCCTCCTCCTCCTTTTCCCCTCCTTTCTCTTCCTCTTCCTTCTCCTCTTCCTCCTCTCTTCTTCATCATTTAAAAATAACCCACTGGGTTCAATTATTGCTGTCCATATGTCCATGGGTGTAGGGCCAGCCACTGGAGCACAGGCAACCCACCAGGAGAAACACTCTTGAACAAAACTGACCCTCTCTTCCTCAGCAGCCATCACTTGCTAATAGTTTCTCAGATAGGAGTAGGGGTCACACGAGCCCCTCCCCTTTCCATGCTGGGATATTGAGTGGCTTGATCTTGTATAGGTCATGTTCAGGCAGCCACAGCTGCTGTAGTTCATGAATGCAATGGCCCTGTCATGTCCGGAAAATACTGTCTCACAGTGGTCCTCCCCAGCTTCTGGCTCATATAATATTTCTGGCTCCACGTCTTCTGCAATGTTCCCTGAGCCTTGAGGGGAGGAGGTATCATATAGATATCCTATTTCATTTTGAAAGAAAGTCTCCATTGCATCCAGAGTCCTACCCTAAGCTTTCTGAGGATTCCTGTTGGTCACTTTACTCTCTCGTTTCTTTCTTGTTCTCTGTCATTTTTGACTGCTACCTTCCTTTCTCAATGCAACCACAAAGCACCAGTCCCCAACTCAAGGAAGAAATACAGATTTTTACTATGTTTTTGGTATGACTAATGGGAGATAAGGGCATATAGCTCAAACACAGAGTAGGACACAGCTACACGTGTAAGCCAGATGTCACTGTGGAAATGTGTTATCCCTTTCCCTCAATTTTCCCACCAGAGATGGCCCCTTTTAGACTTTGACTTCCTTCTCTATAAATGGAACTTTTACTTCCTATAATTTTATAATTCCTGCTCTGGTTCTTCTAACATATGGCAAAATCCAGGCAATTGATTTAGGAGATTTGGACCAGCAAAGTAGAAATGGAAATGGTGAGAAATGGATGAAAAGAGTCAGTTTTCATAAAGGTAGATAGTTGTCAGTTTGCTAATAGATCACAAGAGAAAGAAATAAGGTCAGAAACGGGGTAATATTTTTTTCATATAAGCAAAATGGAATTAATAAAGTAACTCGCAATTAAGGGAGAACATAAGTAAGAAATCTAAAGTATAAAAAAGACATTAATTTCCCACAATTCTCTCAGCCTAAAGATAATAATTGTTAAACATTTTTGCATATTTTTCTTTGGTCATTTCTTTCTTCCTCATTAATTATTCTAGGTTTTTTATGTAAACATACACATATATATATATCTTACTTAAGAAACTAACATTAATGAAAATACTCAACATTTTTCTGTTATCAGGCAGTTTAATTCAGACAAACTTCC